ACAGGCAAAGGATCCCACCAGGCTGGTAGACGGCGTCGCTGGTGAAGATGTTGCGCACCATCATGCAGGAGCACAGCTTGACACTCTTGACGTGGCTGTAGCACTGGCTGAGGTAGCAGGACAAGACATGGTGCAGGTCCAGCATGAGGCACGTCCATCGAACGTTTCCTGGAGCTGGACCTCGGTCATCCGCTACCAAACACACGGCACATTTGTCTCCCGTAAGCCAACATCCGTATTCTTATTGCCCTGCGTTTTGGATTGCAGGAGTGAGTCACTATGCTCTATCATGCTGACCAGATTGGCCTTAAATAAGCAAGCATCCATAAATCGTACCAGGGCATTGCATTCATTTTACTGCAATAAACAATGCAGAGAGAATAAGGGCATCTGGGAACAGCAGCAGAGATTAGTGTGATGTGAAGGAGGCATCGGTTTTCTATAACCTTGTTTGTTGGCGGCTGCAGTTCGTTCATGCACGGAGTCCTTGGCTCCTCCACACAGGAAGGGAAACTGCAGCCAGGTGTTGGTGGATTTAAACTCTTTGAAGAGATTCGAGAACGAAACCCGGATTACCAAACCTTCCTGCGGAAATGCAATGACACAAAAAATATGTTACCTTTTACAAGCAGCCAGTAGCCATCAAGTTGTGCCCAAACATGTGAAAGGATTAGAGAATCTTTAATCATGGGTAGTAACACAACCTTACATCTTTTCTCATAAACACTGCCTTATAAAAGAAAATCTGTTTGCATCATTAACAGTGTATTATAACAGAATATAGAATTAATGATGTCATCGTGGCCAAAGCCCTTAATGCCACCACACCTCGCCAACGCTTTCGACCCTCTCGCAAATCCCACAGCTGCGAATGGTCTCCCACCGTCAGATCTTCCCCTTGATCAGCGGACTCGTGGAGACCACTCCAATTCCAGTCTCACTAACTGGCCCTTTCAAGTGTATAGCTTCCTCCCTGTCTTAATAATAGCTGCCATATGTTGCTCCAAAAGATAGGATGTACGTATATATGTAAAACCATTAAGAAAATAATGAGAAATTAGATAACACTTCACAAAAATGATTGAAGATGCCATAACAATCAATGGGAGCATAAAAACAGCTAGACGTTGATAATGAGTAAATCACAATAAATAGTCTGTCGAGAGCAAAATGGAACCATAATGCAGGACTGCGAGAATATCAAAACTAACGGAGGAATGCGATGCAGATCTTTAAGTGTGACACAATTCATATAACTCAGGATACAAATTGTCAGACGAAGAAGAGAATGTCCCAGATGCCAAACTTGAAGAAGTCTGACTGACTTTACTGTAATCTATATATATAAAATCGCAAATCTGTCTGTCTGTCTGTGTGTGTGTCTGTCTGTCTGTGTGTCGCCGGACCATACGCAGTTTCATTGGACGAAATGTGAGGGATTTGCGAGACACGATTGGTCCGTTTGGTTTTCCACGGCGGTTGCCCCTGGCAACGGGTAGCGACGCATTCGCTGCCGGGTGGACGCCATTTTTAATTCCCGTTAAAAATATGCGCACGCATTAACACGCGACTCTGAGGTAAATTCATCAAAGTTTCACGTCCTCTTCACTCCCCCCCCACCACAATGTGTGCAATTACTATTATAGGGTCGGTAGATAATAAAATTATAGCAATTAGACAGTATTATTGTAGCGCGGGGGGGGGGGGGGGTAACGGCCCCAGTACCCAGCCTCAGCCGGGTGGGCAATTTAGGCGAGGCCGGAGGCTCTGCACGGTACTAGGCCTCGACACCCCACCACACTATAGGCCGTACATATTACTGCACAGCGGCCGAGGAGATCGTGGCTGGGGGGGGGGGGGGGGGCAGGGGTAGCAGCCCATCTGTGTATATATGTAAGGTTATTAAGAAATATATTTTTCACCCGGGCAACGCCGGGTACTTCTGCTAGTGATACTATATAATTTGTAACCGTACGAGGGCCTATTGAGACGGAAAGCCTCTTATTCACGAGAGATTTGGGTATGATTTTCTTCCACCTCGCCTTGGGGGCCAGGGAGACTGCACTCACCTGTGTGCACACATCAAGATGAACTACGAAGAACTTGTTGGGCAGGGGCTTGAACAGCAGGTACAGGAACCGCCCCGTAAGTCCGAGCGAGTGAGCGGGCGAGCTCGGCAGCTTCACATAATTTGCTGCCGGAACCGAGCCTGTGATCCGGTACACGGTAGCCTTCAGAGTCTTGTCCTGGTTAGAGGAAAAATCGCATGCCACGTGCTCTTGCCATTAACAAAATAACACGCCCTCACTGTGCTGTTCACAGTGAGAACCTGCATTAAATGAGCCAAGACAAGAGTGGAAAAATAATAAACAAAACAAAAGGTAACACTTTGTACCAAACCTAAAAGGCACAAGGCCCACAAGGAATCATGGCATTCAAAACTCACTACAAATGCAGTCCAGTAAAGGCGACATTCCAGGATCTAAGGGAGTGTCTTCTTTCATTCCATGCAACCAACTGTTGTAACCGAGTGGCGCGTGTTACTTAAGACATCTTCTCGCGAGAGTGGGAACACAGAGAGTGCAATACGCGTAACTCTTGGGCAGAGGGCACAATCCAAATGCTGTACCCCTTTAATAAGCGGCTTTCATAGGCCCCCTTGGCTACTCAACAAGGGCTGCTCTGGCTACTCGACATGGGCCCTAATGCCTACTTGTTCACACAGCTTAAAATGTGTTTTCACACGCCTGCATTTTCAAACCACATGCATTTTAGCCCTTGATTACTTTAAGACAGTGCTGTGTGTCGAGCCATTACAATGCTGCTAAATGTGGTTAAAGTTTTGACAATAAAGATTGACTGGAGTGCTAATGGCACTGGAAGACATTTATTGAAAGCTACACAACACTGGAATAAAATTTAAATATAAATACAACACCACCTCAAGATATGGCTGAAGAAAAAAAAAACACATTAAATTAGGGCTTTCACTTTACCAAAAATGTAATCTCTGAGGCTTCAAAATCTTGGCCTAATTGAAATGTGACGGCATAGAAAAAGTCTGCCCCTAGTGAGGATGAAGAGGCATACTACTCTGAATTCTCTTCAGAAGTAGTTTGGTTACCTCATGTTGTCGTTCTCTGACACAGAGATGTGGAGTCCCGAATGTAAAGATCTGCATCAACAACAAGGCAACTCCTATGACTAATTGGGAATGGGACGCAAGCGTAGGATTGATCACCCTGTCACTGGCCGCCTTTGGGGAGGGTGTATAGTATGAAAAGCCGAAACACCCTAGGAACCAAAGGTACACTACTGACGATGCGATCCCCAAATTTCACCAGGCTCACTGTTCATGAACTCTTGGAAGTGCTTGCACAAAGGATAGTAACATCTCATCCTGTGTTCTTTGGAATCGGAATCATGTCATGACGCCGATAACACAACAACTCGGGGAGGGGGGCTCGAATCTGCATGTGAACATGAATGCAGTGAAAGAGAGCATGTGATTGAGGCAATTACTCACCACCACTGCCGATACATCTCCGTCTTTCGCCGCTCTTTTCCACTCGTCCACTTTGAAGTGTTTGAAGACGTTGACATAAGGTTGTTGCCACACTAGGAGAAAAATAAATAAACCATTCAACACATGTGAGCCGTGGGCAAATATTTTTGTTATGTTGTTACACAAAATATTTATTTACCCCACAGATTTAAAATGGTACTCTTACTCTCTTCTCAACAGGTGTATCAAATTTGTAAAATGGGATGGCTTCATATCTTACAGGAGTGTTGGGAAACATGAAGACGTCTTGAAAGGAAATGTTTTATCCCACTTATTTTAGTGGGGTATATAAACATGGATCACCCGGCATAATCAGACATACACGTACCTATCCACGCAAATATACACACAATACACCCATTGATGTGCACAGATATAAAGCGCCTATGATATGCAGTCGTGAGATTATCATTTCGCTTGCATACTCAGTTTAGCCCTACTGAGTCTCATGAATGTTTTTCAGGAGGGTCCCACCAAAATTTCGCAGTCGGGGGCGATGATAGCTTCAAATTGAGTAATTATGGGTCTCTGTGTGAGTCTGTGTGAGTCTATGGGTCTCTGTGTGAGTCTGTGGGTCTCTGTGTGAGTCTGTGGGTCTCTGTGTGAGTCTGTGTGAGTCTATGGGTCTCTGTGTGAGTCTGTGGGTCTCTGTGTGAGTCTGTGGGTCTCTGTGTGAGTCTGTGGGTCTCTGTGTGAGTCTGTGGGTCTCTGTGTGAGTCTGTGGGTCTCTGTGTGAGTCTGTGTGAGTCTATGGGTCTCTGTGTGAGTCTGTGTGAGTCTATGGGTCTCTGTGTGAGTCTATGGGTCTCTGTGTGAGTCTGTGGGTCTCTGTGTGAGTCTGTGGGTCTCTGTGTGAGTCTGTGTGAGTCTATGGGTCTCTGTGTGAGTCTATGTGTCTCTGTGTGAGTCTATGGTCTCTGTGTGAGTGAGTCTGTGGGTCTCTGTGTGAGTCTATGGGTCTCTGTGTGAGTCTATGGGTCTCTGTGTGAGTCTATGGGTCTCTGTGTGAGTCTATGGGTCTCTGTGTGAGTCTATGGGTCTCTGTGTGAGTCTATGGGTCTCTGTGTGAGTCTATGGGTCTCTGTGTGAGTCTATGGGTCTCTGTGTAGTCTATGGGTCTCTGTGTGAGTCTATGGGTCTCTGTGTGAGTCTATGGGTCTCTGTGTGAGTCTATGTGTCTCTGTGTGAGTCTATGGGTCTCTGTGTGAGTGAGTCTGTGGGTCTCTGTGTGAGTCTATGGGTCTCTGTGTGAGTCTATGGGTCTCTGTGTGAGTCTATGGGTCTCTGTGTGAGTCTATGGGTCTCTGTGTGAGTCTATGGGTCTCTGTGTGAGTCTATGGGTCTCTGTGTGAGTCTATGGGTCTCTGTGTGAGTCTGTAGATCACAACTGCAGTGCACAGCAGCTTGTAGGCGTTGTCATAGAAACGCCGTTGGAACTTACAGCAGCAGCTGCGTGTGTAAGCACGCACTAAGGAGTAGATTGTAAGCGCGCAATGAGCAACACGAGGCAATGCAAGCACAAGTACAAGGTGGGAAAACAAACATTTAACGTTTTAAAAGAACATTTTAAATCGAATTCCGTTCGACAGAGGCGAACTGATGATCGCCCTCCCCTCACACCGCCGCTCACGTCAGGATGCCCAACTCACGTTTGCTCGCCATCGTGTTGTCGATGTGTGTGCGCGTTGTTGTTGTTGTTGCCGTTGTTGTTGCCGTTGTTGTTGCTTGAACCTTGCTGAGCACTCATCAGCTTTAACACAAATACGCGAGACAACGTTGAAACCTGTTCAAGTGTACAACATAAGACGCAGGCCAGAGCAGTGGATCGCAGCGCCGACGGAGATCGCCGATTGTGGCGGGCGCGGCGCGCGGGAATCGGAGCCGCGTCCCGATCGGCCGTCGATTGCTTTTGCCACATTGACACTCCTTGCGTCAGATGCCGGATTATAAGACGCACCACCATCCAGTCCGGTGCCCGCTTATTTCTATACTCTTTGGTTCTTTCGGTAAAGTCACGTAGGTATAAAATAAAGTAAATCACTTATTTCTATTCAACAACTCCCCTTTCCACAACAAACTAACATGACCATCGCTGTCAATCCCCTATCAGTGCCCTACCTTGTTACAGACAAATTCAGACATTGTTGGTCACCCCATGCCCTTTCTAAATAAAGTTCCAGTTTCAAGTTCAAGTTCATTTATTTGGTATAGCCCTGTGAGCCATCGGCTCTTGTAATGGGTGCAACCGCAACAAACAAAAAACAAACATGAACAAGAAAACATCTTAAAGTGACTAAGTGCAAACAGAAAATCCAAGAAAGACAGCAAAATATTGCAGAAAAAGCACCGTACACCAACGCTGTGTACAAAAATCACAATAGGATGCAAGTCAAACAACAACAACCACAGGACAACTTAGATTAAGGCCATCAGTCTAACTCTGTACTACAACAAACAAACATGGGCAAACCAAAAACTTTTCCAAAATCACCAAAATAAAGCCATGAAAGCAATGAAACAGTGATCATAGGAACTGTGACCGAATTTTCACAATAAACGACATAAACAACATGTACTACCAAACTCTGTAGCCATAGCTGGCTGCATGAGTCACTCCACAACAGCAGGAGCATCAGTCGGAGTATCAACTTTTTTCAATGCACCTTTAAGATCAGCACGCTAAATCAAAACACATGTCATACTTTGCAGCGATCATCCGGAGCGAAATTTTTTATTTTAGGCCACTGAATAGCAGTGTCAGCTAGGGGTGTACAACTCCTCTAGAGCAGTTTTGAGTGAAGATTAAAATCTCAACGTTCATCCCACAAAGTCCCATCACAAGGGAGTAAACACAAACAAATGGACAAATGTTTTGTTGTTGCCCCTATTGAAACGGCTGTAGGCCGTGTGTAGGTGCCTGCAAACTCAATGTCCCTGTACAAGAATACGGGGTAAACTGTACGGGTTGACATTTAGATGTTGCGTAAAATATGAATGTCCAGTCGCAATGAAGTTGTACAATTTAACACGTAGGCTTTCGCGACCAATATCATCCATAGTATCGTTTTTGGGTTCAATCGCTTAAATAGGTCCCCATTGCAATGGATACCTATTGCATTGGGTCCCCATTGCAACGAGTACTCATTGCATTGGGTACCTATTGTAATGGTACCTATTGTGATGGGTGCCCATTGTGCCCATTGTGGTTTAGATGGGCTCACGAGTGACGTCATCACATCCTCGCCTCTTATTCTTGGTTCTTTCGGTAAAGTCACGTAGAAGGGAAACAATAAAATAATAAAAATATTTAAAAAATGATATTGTTTTTATATATTTAATATAAAATAAAAATATAAAAACTAAAATAAATATTGTTTTTATATATCTAATATAAAAACAATTGTATTTTTTTTCCCTTCTACGTGCCTTTACCGAAAGAACCAAAAATATGAATCCCTGCAGTCACGAAAGCTTTAAATCTAAATTTAAATCCTCGCCTCTATTTAAGGAACGAGACAGGAGGAGGATTTCTACACAAATCTGGCTGCTGTCCGCCTGATGATGCCGGTTGTAGTTACTGGCGAAACGTCGTACTCAGATTGTGAATGTTGTTTGTGGCTTTGCTCTCCAACACACAACCGGTGTGCTGTACTAGTGACGAATTGTCCACTTTCTATTTACGTGACAATCTTTACTAGTTGGCCATGCCGGGTGGTAGCGGGTTTAACGATCTAACTCAACAACCTCTATTATGGAAGTTGTATAAACCTGGCCAAAAACCCACGCAGGATGCACTTCGGATTATAAAGACGCACACACCACCCCCCAATTTTTTGTTGTAAAATCCGGGGGGAGTGTGTCTTATTATCCAGAGAAGACGGTGATCGATCAATGCTATCTGTGAAGTGTATTATGCAAGACCACATTCCATGTGAACCCATACGATTTACTCTGTATTCTTGTACCGCCGTTTCAATGCGGGCAAAACGAATGTTTTGTCTATTTGTTTGTGTTTCTCCCCTGTGATGGGACTTTGCAGGATGAACGTTGAGATTTGATTCATTCATAAGGGAGCAAGGGGTGGCCTTGGGAAATCAGTGGAGGGAGAAGAGAGACGTCTCAACACGTGGACTTGAACAAAATAACCTGCACGCACTCATGTCCACAGCGCAAACGAAACCTCCACACTTTGATATGGCACTGGTCTAATTCATGGCACAAACGTTTCTCGTCACCGTTTCTATTCCTATCAAAGAGGACGCGAACTCTGACCATTCGCCTTGACAATTTGCCTCCGATTTCCCCCCGGCGTGGTATTTCGTCCACAGACTGTGTTTTTTTACGAGGCGACCGAACAACCTTGGCGTCAACATTGTGATGTCTCAAAGGCAAGGTTGTCTTGTAAGCTGCCCATATAATAAACAACGTGCTTCAAGCGATCACACTTCGACGCAGCAGCCATGGATGTGAAGAGCTTGCTGCTGCTGCTGCTGTCAGTCAACTTCGCTCTCTGCGTAGTGACCTCTTCGGACGAGTCTCGAGGTGACGGCGATCCGAGAGGAGGCGACGACTTTGGTCTCTTCGCTTTCGGACCCAGCGACGTGGGCCAAATGTCTCGCCCGATGCTGCTTCCTTCGCGAACCCACGGCGCGTTCAGCTTGCCATTCCGCGAGGAAAACTACCTGTACTTCCCCAAACAGAGGGACCTCAAGTCCGCCCGACTGCACAACATTCTAGGCTCGTCCTTCGACCCATTCTGGATGTCAGTCAAGAGGCCCAGCAGCAGCAGCGGCAGCACGACCAGTGACACGGGGTCCCTGGCCACTCGGAGCTCCGCCGTGCGCAACGCCGCGACCGCCGCGGGCAGGAAGCTGCACGCCGCAGCGAGGGCCCTCAACTTCACCGTGCTGACCGACTCCGGAGCAGCGGTCACCGCCACAGAAGCCACCGTGGCCTTCATGACGCGCTGGCTGCTACAGAAGGCCGAGTGCGGCGTCTCCTCTTCGTGGCACGACCTCGGCTCCGTGTTCTGGCCGCGCTGGATCCGGCTGAACCACTGCGAAGAGAGCGGCGGCGGAGAAGGAGGAGGCTGCTCCTGGCCGGCGGGGATGTCCTGCGCACCGGCGCAGTCGACGCACATCAAAATCCTGGCCTGGCACTGCTACGCGTTACGCAGCGCTGCCGTGGACGGGCAGCCCCCCCCGCTTCAGCCCCTGCAGAAGTGCAGCTGGCGGCTGGTCCCGTACCCGCTGGTCACTGCCTGCACGTGCGGATGTGACAAACACAGCACGGGACACGGATGGGAGTGAATCTCCCCGCAGCAAAACAAAAAACCCACTGCGACGTTGTGCATTGGTGTTGGGGAGGACGATGTCAAGGACCCCCCCCCCCCTTTCATTGGGGGGGCTTTTGGGTACGGAATGAGGCAAACGTCCTTGTCTCGCGGTGTGTTCAAGACTTCGATTTTGCTGCGTCGATCTCAGTGTTTTTGCTTCTGTCATTCTGGTGGGCCAATTTGCTCTTGCAAACGATCCTCCGCTGTCCTCCTCTCTTGAGAGTTCTCACCTGCTTAGACAAAATAAACTCGAACAAAGCTCTCAACTTGGTTTCACGGTAAATTGTAAATGTCAGGCTGCAGTGCCCAAATCCCTTGAGCTCGAGTCGGGGAATACGATCTTGTGTGCAGGAATATCACGTTTCTACATGTTGATTTGTAATCGAGAGAATGTTATGTCATGTTATAGTTTCCATAACGAGCATACGATGTATATTCAATTGCACAAAACGAATAATATTTGTATGTGCACTGTAATAGCTTATTTTTTAAAAAGAAATATCCATAAAAATATAATATAGCATTAACCTGCTTAATTATTCATACATCTTTAGATACTACATATACAGCATAATGTATATAATATCATTTGGATACACTTAACGGGTTTCTGAAGTCTGTAATTCAATCAGGAAGTGCAGCCCAACTTAAAACCTGGGCTCAGATTTCCACGTAATTGAGGGGCATAATTTAATTTGCTGGATAATTGCATAAAGATATAACTGTTGAATATAGCCGTGCACGTTGTAAATTGAGAGGTGTACATTTAAACGATGCAAGAGAACGAATTTAGATGTAATTGTACGGTTCTGTAACAGAAAGTGACACTTCTTTAGTTAGCACTTATTAGCATTACCATCTACAAATCCAGGTAACTTACACTACAGTAAAAATAACGTATGCATATTTGCAGCAGTTAATATACCAAAAATAAACCATTTTGATCCCCTATCAATATCATGCTGTACTATCAGTTATATTAGGTCATGCTTTTTAGAGGTAAGTTTCTAAATTATATAATACATCTCACAACACAATAATCAATAACACCATGGCCTTAAAAGAAAAATATATATAATAGGTGGCATTTTGGGCAATGGCGTTTTCCTATGCGTCATGAAAAAGGCCCATTCCTTCAAACGTCACCTATTACATATTACAAAAATATAGAGGTGCTGACGAATGTGTTGACTTTTTTGGTGTATCACTGCAAATTCAGAATCACCAAATAATTGAAGTTATATCATGGAGTCGCAGAAGTTGATGTTAGAATGCCAACAGCAGCTTCCTTAGTTACGGACTAAAAAGCTTAAAACTTAAGCCTGTTGCACACCGACCAATCTGACCTCGGTCGCATCCGACCCGGCCCGACAAATTCGTCGGCGACACCCGAGACTGGCGGAAGGCATCACGCACACAATCCATCAGACCGTCAAGAACCCCAAGTCTCGACTATTCTCCCCGACGAGGACAGATTTTATAATCCATAACCGTCGCGCCTGGTGTCACGTGGGTTAGTGATGTGGCATTCTTCTATTGGTTGCTGGTTTGCTCCATCTCAACTGTGTGGCAAAATAAAAATGTTATCTTACCCCAGCTACAATAACAGGCTACGCGATTAATTGTAATTAACTTACACACATTCTCCTTAACACAGGTGGAGTCGTAAAAGCAATTAAAATTAACCGCGTGGCCCGCCATTGCTTTGCACGTGATTTTGAGGGCTTTTCCTGCAAGTCATAACAAAAATACCCTTACAATACAGTGTGTGTGTGTGCGTGCTGAGATTTATCCATTCATTACAATTTGCACAAAGCCACTTTCTATTAGTAGTTAACTTGAAACGACCCAGTCTGAGGAAAGGGACAAAGTGTTGAGATGCAGCAGCTACCTCCAGTATGTGTCGACAACATAATCACTCAAACATGTTCATAAAAAAATACACATTGCAAAATAATGCACCGATCACAACAAAAACATACACAATGCAAATTCAATAAAAACAGCCGATGTACATTTGTTTATGTCATTGCAATGTTTTAATAACTAAAAAGTGCTTCTACAAAAACCACTCGGATTAACCATGCGGCCCGTCATTGTGAGGGTGAATTACATGTGAGATTGTGAATACTTTACTGCATTTCACAGCAAACGCACTCTTAATAGCTACACACTCATGCCGGCTAACCCAAAACTGTAGAACACCAGTATCTCCTGCCCAGCGCGTTACTCCATCCACCTGTGTTCGGGAGAATGAGGCGGTGGTCCTCATCAGTGACATTTGTGGACGTGTTTTCACCACAACATGTGAGATCCAGTCCTTGCGTAAACGTGGCTTTTCGTGGCTCTTGGCAGCACCCACATTAATCACTGACAGGTACATTCCCTGAATAACCACCCGGCCACGTAGACCAGATGCACACCCAGGAGGGGTGGACAATAGGTGGACAACAGGGGGCTTTTACCCCCCCACCCCAACATTTAATGTAACATCGTAAATAAATAATACCCATTTTAATACATTTTATAACATAAAACCTTAATTTACATGCTATTACATTTGATTTTCGATTTATTTATTTTTGCCCTCTGCGAAATGTTGAGTTGGGTGCAGCACAGGCTGGGAAACACTTCTCTGGGGGGCCCACCCACCTCCACCGCAGCCCCAAGACAATTAGTGTACCAAGCTCAGAGGACAAGTGCAGGCACCTACACGGAAGCGTCAGACGGAGCAAAGGACCACCTACGCCGCCCGGAAAGCGCTTGGGCAACAGGTCCCGTGGGGGGTCCACATCCCCCTCCCCACGATCATCTGACTGGCCTCCACCGAGCTCTCCCGGGGGCCGCAGAGCAGAACGCCACCCTGGCCTAGCAAAGTTAACGTGTTAAGGCCCGGCACGTGGGGGCCACAGGGCACGTGATGATTTGCACCCAGGCAGCCAGGGGCACACCATACCCACATTATCCATAATTAATCTTAGCAAGAAATGTTTAGTAAACGGCTGAAAAAAAATAGGTTGGAACCGGTGAACACCAGCCTGTGCATGGAGAAGCGCAGAGAGAGGTTGAGCTCTGTCCTCTCTGATCGGTGCAGGGAGCAGCGGAGCGAGAACACACACATATATACACCAGTGATGACTGTAGGTGCTGCCAGTCTGTACAAAACAAATCTTACCCTACATGCATGAAAATAAAATGCATTCTCATAATTTTGCATAAAATAATTTAGCCCGTGGCATGATTAGAAGCGAATATGTCTCAACATAAAACAAATCCCTTCCGCAACGGTACAGCAGTATCTTAATTGGCCAATTAATCAGAATTGATTTGGCTTGACACGTGACACTGTGTAAGTGGTAACATGAATGTAGTCGGCGGTTTCACAGTTGACGCATGCAATTTTCAAACCATTCAAAGTTCGGTTTTGTTTAACTGCCTCTGCCAATTTGTACAGTTAAAAATTAACGCTCGCTCAGAAAAAAAACCAAAGAGTACTTTACGGGCTCCGACATCACTTGCCCCTAAAGGGCGACGCAATCTAGAAAGTGCAACACCACAGGCCTAATGCTATAGGTTGGTGGGTAGTGTGTGAGAGGTTAATACACAGCGTTCGCGTGGACCGTCTTATTTACAGCGTGAATGATGCTGCCAGTCTGCACTTTAGTTACAAATGCACGTTGCATAATCTTCGACAGGAGGACCAAGTGCAAGGCGCAGTCCTGTGTTTTGAACGGGCTGCCTGTGCGCGTGTGGGCGCCGAGTGCGACGTTGCTGCGAGCACTTTCATGATATTGTTTGAATATTATAAAAACTATTATTTTGTACAAGGTAAGGCCCACTGAGATACACAGCTCTTTTTCAGAAGTGACCTGGCCACAAATGACAGCTCAACGAAGCGGCTTATCGTATGGAAATTTATAGCAACCAATTACTCTACCCGGAGAAAAATCCACACGACCACGGGGAGAACATTCAAAATCAAAAAATATACAGCAGCAGGCGTCTGGGTCTAGATAGAACCCACGACCTCCTGTATACCAGGCAAGGTAGTTAACGTCTCCTAGCCACCGTGACGCCCCACACTTGTGTTAACTTATGAATAATGACATTGTGCACCGCCTGGCGTGAAGGATAACAATACCTCAAATACATTATCATGTGTTAGTCAACGGTTTTATTTAACTTCACTTGTGTTTGTCGTGGTCAAATCTTGTAATCGACAACAGGTCTACTTCCTGTTGTCCAAATCATCATTTAATTGCCTCTTTTCAAGCAATTACAATTTTTTGTATGGACGGCTTATTAATTATATATTTTTGTGGAGGTCAAAAACGCCGCGGGGTCCCTAAACTGTGGAATCGGCTCGCACAAAAAGCGGGCGCCATTGACCTTCTTCTCGACCGTGAGTTAAACCAAGTTGTTAATAAAACCGTTGTTTTAAAAAAACTTTTTTCAAGGAGTTTATTTTTGGCCTGAGATCCCATTTTAATCAGCTTGTTGTAACATTATGCCTTACCTTCTATTTCTGAAAACTGCAGATTAGTAGCCAATTTGGATCATTTTCGGCAAAAAAAAATCATAAACTACACCGTTTTAGAAGACTTGATTTTGAAATCTTAAACTACACGAGCTTGCATTTACGAGAGAGACCAGAGAAACGATGCATACTCCTGATCTGCCAGTGAAGGCGCTACAGATACACGAGAGGCACTTTCCTACATTTGGTCCAACGGCGGCACAGCCATCATCTCAAACACTTGATCCAATCCTCCGCTCGTGGGGGAAATGTCTCTACGGACATCTCAGTGGAAGTAACGAAGAGTGCAGAAAGGTCCGTTCCATCCTGTTTCCTTTCGCTGCGGTCGCAGCCCTCCTCCTGAACGGGCGAATGCCTCGAGAGACACGCCACGCTCGCCGAGGGCCACCGAGCGGGGGCCCTTCACCACATGTCATATTGCACGTCCTGCGTTGCCTGCGGGGGGGCCTGGCTCGCCAGCGGGGGGTTCCAGTGCAGACCGGGCGACCGCGCCATGGCAAACTGCGCGGGCGACTCGGCCCTCCTGGCCATCTGCTCCAGCCCGTTGGGCCTGCCCGAGGACGTCTGGGTGAACGCGTTGATGTACCTAGGCTGCTGCTGCTGCTGCTGATGGCGGAAGCCCGCAGAGGGGCATTCCGCCGGAGGCTGGCCAAAGTCCGGCGCCGCCGGCGCAAAGCCCTGGCCGGCGTCAGCGCCACCGCCGCGGGCGGCCCGCGGTCGCCCCCCGTCAGAGAGGCCCGCTCCGGCAGTAGGGACGTGGTGGTGCCTGCAAGGCTCCGGGAAGCCGGGGAAGCGGCCGCGGGTTGGGCCCGCGGTGGCGGCGGCGTCGAGGCCGTTGCGCGTCTCCGCGTTCGTCTCCGCGAGGGCACGGCCTTCGTCTTTGTCGCCCAAGTGGCCGTGCTCGGAGGCGTTGGCCACCTGTCGGGAGACATCGCGGGAAGGCGCGAAGCTGTCACCAGTTGACATGCTGGGGGGCGTCAGGTTGGTATGTATGTAGAACTTCTTTCGCACAGTACGTAGCCAACCGTGCCGATTGGGAGGTGCGGGGCAAGGACAGGTTTGACACGAGTTCAGGGCAAGTCGTTTCGCCATCGCGCGCTGCTGGACGGGCTACGGCAACAGTTGCCCACACCGGCCTGCCCGCCTGCCCGCACGCTGCACGATGTGTAATGCGTCAGTGTAGCTTTGTGCCGTCTCCACCTACCGACAGCGCTCGTCTCTCATTGACGTCCCTCACTGCAGAGGGAAGACAAAAGCAACGTGGGAGGATTAACGCAATATCACGAAAACGGAATGTGGGCAATACGCATACAATGTTGGTAAGCACGCCCACAAACATAACAATTAATGCGCAAAAACAAGAAAACCCCAATGTGTCTAATGACTACCTTTGAAGAAGGTGCTAGATTTGGGATGTTTGGACATTTTTTTAAGGAGTGGAAGCAGACCAGAATGCCCAGTGGAAAACCACCCATTCGCACCAAGGGATTACACCGAAAGGTTTGGAGTTTGTGAACTCATTTGCTGTACCCTCCTGGCCACTTGAGCACCCCAACACACGTTTTGGAGTTGTACAAATCTACGTGATCCACCAACGCTTGCCTTCAAAGTGCAACACCCACTGTTTAACGACTATAAACAGTCTCTCAACCGTTATGTTATTTTTATTTTATTTCTCACTATCAAAAAGACTTAGCAAGCGAATACAGTTGACAAAGATTCATCACGCAACCTGGGATAACGGTGACATGGGGCAATTTGCAATACAAGCAAAGCGAAGGGGGCGACGTGTCGCTGTTGGTGACGCGATAGCGACGATGCTTACACCGCTTGGCCCTCCACAGCAGGGTGACGTAGCTCTGGATGCTGTTGTCCTCCATGAGGAGGAGGCCCTCTTTGGAGCCGAACGTCCACACCAGGGGCCCCGCGCCGTCTTGCTGCCCGGCAGCCGCCGCCACCTCGGGAGGGAAGCGCACCGCCAGGCCCAGCCCCTCGCAGCCCAGACGCTGGTTCTCCTCCATCTGAGGCCACAAACCCACGCTCGGTTCGCACGGCGGTGCCCTTCGGATGTATGGCGCCAACGCGCGCGTGCGTGCATCGGTCTACCGGTAACACACAATTCCCTTAATGTGAACGTCAAACTAGTTCAGCGTTTAGTGTTTCCCGCCATGAACATGCCAATCCAGTCTTGTAAAAACCTGGCTCGAAAGAAGTTAACCCACCAACTGCACAGGTTCCCGATATTGGGGCGACGACCTCCTGCCGATGGGGCTGCGAGAGTGTCTCGGGAAGTCACAGTGACAACCGGAAACCTCGCCAACACAGGGTTGGGATTCTCAGCACGGTGAAGACGCTCGGCCTGAAAAGCTTAGCAAGGCCCGAGTCGGTGGCTAAAGACTGTACCGACAGGGAGCAGGTGGTGGCGGATGAGGGAGGGAGGGAGGGACTCGCCAGCTGCTGGATGCGGAGGAGGTTGCGGCGGATGGTGCTGGACGGGCTGTCAGGGGTCACGGGAGGGCATGGCTCCCTCTCGTCACGGCCACAGGGGGGCGGCGGCGTAGCCACCGCGGTGAGACCTGGAGGCTCGCGGGCACCAGCGGTGGCGTGAAGCAGCTTTGCTGTAAACCGTAACGCACGCACAACGAGGGCGACGTTGTAACGCAGAACGTGGCGATGTTGTAACGCAGAACGTGGTTGTCGTTTGGGAATTCTGAAGAGGGAAATCCCCGCTCACTCTAGCACTTAAGAATAATTAGTTACAATTGTTCATTCCTTCGATCATTCTTCAATACCCTCGAGTCAAGACTCCCTTTGGAAAACACAGGACGAGCAATGGCATCAACATGCATGGCAAGGCCTCGTACAACACCGTCAACATTAATGAGCATTGGCACTTCATTTAAAATATAGCCACCTCAATCAATTTTACAGGGCGTATATGCCACCCCTGCGTAACACATGGGTTGTTCCATGTGCCAAGTGCTTGGAATCGCAGGCAACAGAATTATCAGCTGAAGGAAATTACATTTTCTCAATCTATTACCAAGGGGCTTGGGCCATCACGCAGTACTTGCCTTTGGCCGAGGGGAGGGGGCCCATCTTGGCTTTGCCCTGACCCGCGAGCGGCGTGTGAAAGTTCATCTTCTGGAAAGGGCTCTTGTCCCTCACGCCACGCGTCTTGGCATCGCCCAGCGCTCGTCTGAAGTTGCCGATGAAGTTCTACAACAAGGCGGCCACGCACGCATAACACCAATTAGCACGCATAACACCGATTAGCACGTTCCCGCAAGAGAGTTCTATTCAATACGCAAGTGCATGGTTGGTCTCGTCAACAGGCACATAATGATACGCAGATTCGTCAATTAAAATCGACTCTTTCTCTCATGACATCAAACTGCGTTCGTAAGACTTGATATTTTACGACTTGCGCAAACGATACACAAACGGTAGGCTAATGTTACACTGGAGCTAATAACGCAACCGAAACTGCATTAATAGGACAGAAAAAAAGCAAGAACCGATACAAACGACATGGCACCGATGTGCGAGGGAGAAAGGACATTTCACTCGTCGGTTCCACCTGAGGTGGCACAACTTTAGCGGTTCTAATTTCTCAGCATGGCCGATGACAGTGAGGCTATCCAATCGTTTGCTCTCATTCGTCGTGCAAACAAATTGGCTCCCAGACGGAAGAGTCTGCTGCAGGGACCTCAGCACTTGGAAACCGTGCGACGACGACAACGACGCGGCTCGGTTAACAGGCGACGCCCGAGCTGTGACTACAGAGGCTGTCGATGCCGGATCGGCCTCATCAGCAAATATTCGTAGCCACAGAAACGAGCCTGACGGAAGACAATCATCCTCGACTTGCCGGAGAAAATATACATCCATGGTACTGCCGAGGGTGTGCCGCTACCTCAGGTGGTACCCATCGGCAGCTCTTGGGAGGGTACGCACGGGTGCATGCCGTCGTCTAGCCGGGGGCCAGCCCTGGCGCTGGCGACCGTGCGTGCCACTCACGTAGGCGTGCTGGTAGGGCACGCCGGCGCGCTCTGCCGCCTCGGCGATGAGCGCGTTGCCCTTCTCCTGCGTGCGCATGCCGCGGTACAGGTAGTAGTAGACGAGGACGCTGTTGTACTTGGGGAAGCGCTGCAGCTTCCTGCACGAGAAGACAAGCAGTCACACGACCGCGAAAAGACCACGAAGCTTTAACAACGAAACCAAGCGCCCCCAAAATGCCAGGGGGTTTAAGGGCCAAGCTTCCCTTAAGTCGTGATGCAGAAAAACAAGAATGTTTAATGGGTAATACAGCTTTCTATTCACAACTTCAATAGATGAATTTGTCTATTTTACATACATTTTCAAGAATAAAAAAAATGAATGAGCAACGACATCATTACGTTCCAATACCGTGAACCTCATAATCGTACGATATACATTGTCGTATCATCATATCGCGGCAAGACTAATATCCACGTGGAAACGTAGATTCGTTTTCGCGGACGAGAGATTCCAAATTTGGCAATCGCAGTCATTCGGGCCCGATGCAGACACGTGGGTGAAACAAAAGCTGTGCCAGACAGGCCCAGCCATTACCTTGCCAGTTATTTTTTTTCATTCCGACTCAACATGAGCCCAGTACAAAGCACCGATCAAAGTATTGGGGGGGTGGAGGGGAACAGAAAACTCACTTGGCCAGTTCTTTATTAGAGCGCAGATCAGCAAGGAACCTGCATACACACGCAAGAGAACCCCACACATTCGTAAAAAATGCTGTGGCCTTAAAAGGAAATGTATTATAATGGACAACGTTTCAGGCAATAGTCCTTCTTCCGGAGAGAGTGGATGATAAGAGTTGGAGACTGCTGAGAATTACGTGATATAAATTTTTTCCAATGGTCAGCATTTAAATGGGCATTTGAATAGTTACACTAATAGTCTGCTATTGCTTAAAAGATAAATCCTTCAATAATAATAAAAGCATATCTTACTTAATAAACCCACATGTATTTAAAGAAATAAAATGTTGCTGGCACACTGCATCATACAAGGAATGTTAGACATTGCCTGTTAGCACGCCTGCCCAACAGTTTACCATCCAACTTGGCTGAAATGACCAATCGTTTCAAACACTCATTAACCATATATTTACGTCACAATCGGTTAGATAAGGATCAATAGTTAATAATAGTGTGCATTGTTTAGCACGGTCAATGCAGAAAGAGACAACAAAGTGTGCTTTTGGTACTAAAAATAGTCCACTCACTTTTCAGGACTTGCCATGTCCACCATCTGTATGATATAACATGCAAAAGACACTTGTGTCAAAATAATGCCCAATGTATGTTTCAAAAGCATGACATCCATTGCATTCAACACCACATTTCGTGCATTACTTCTTATGTTATTTAAGCGGTGCAAAACGTGTAAGAAAAAGAAACGTACACAAAGTGCTGTGTGCACTCAGTTGCGTAAAAAATATGTATTTTTAAATATTGCCATTTATTTATCCAGGAGAGCTTGCCAAGCCTCGTGCCGAGTGCTTTGTGTGGCGGCAGGAGACAATAGCAACTAAGGCCTGCACAGATGGGTTCACTACTCGTTTACCATACTAATAATAATTTGCATTTAAATAGCGCTATTATCACGCTCGCTGGTTAATTCGTTCATTTGAACTCCACTTGTGAAAGCACCATCTGTACACGAGCGATGGAAGGCACGTTCCAGACGACCGGCGCAGACGCACTGCAATCCTCCACAGCTGCCACATCGTTAGTTTGTATCGCTTCCAGCGTTGGCGTCGAGCGCTAACGCAGCACGAGCGACGAGAAGTACGGCCCGTTAGCCCATCGCCGAGGTAACGCTGCCGTGTTACCTCTCCAAAGTGCTGCGTGTATAACAAGCAGACACCCCCTACCAACGCCGGCTCGAGAAATATAAAGGCGGTAAAACATCGATGGGCGCTCGGTGGGGACTTGCCGTTGCGAAGGTCTCCTCTGCCGGTCGTGAGCAGGGCCGTTTGCACGGGGAAGCCACCATTCCCGACTGCTGCTGCTGCTGCTGCGGCTGTGGTGGCTGCTGAGGCTGTTGCTGCTGCAGCTGCGGCGGCGGCGGCGGCTGCGGCTCGGTTTCGCACGGTGGGGTATCGTCCATGCGCTCGTCCCCAATGCACGGCACGCCCCCGTCGGGCTCTGGCAGCTTGTCGTCGGCGTACCCGCCGAGGCACGGCCAGCTGTCGTCCGCCAGCGAGCAACCGGCCGCTGTCACCACGTCGGCCTGCTGCGGCGACTCCGCGTGGGAGCTCTCCGACTCCGCCGTGCGGCTCGCTGCGCTCCGCACCCCACAGTTTTGTCAAAACATTCAACATTTTCACCTTTTTCTGTTTTATTCGGTGCTCATTTGCTTCCCCCTGCTTCGAATGCATTAATTTCTCTCCCATGCTGGAGGCAAAAGCCCAGCAAACAAAAAAAACGGCTGTCAAATAATAACACTCCAATTAAGATGAAAAACGTTCAACTGCAAAGCACTGGGGTGGAAAACACAAGACCTTGCAGGCCCCATTCTTCTGAGCAGCCTTTTTCCAATTTTGTCAACGACTGCTTACATTCCGTAAAACAGTCCGAGAAATGCATTTAGCACGAATATCACAATTGCTGAAACAACCCACAATGCGGCAATTATGCAAAAAAAAATGTTGCCGCCACTTTGCAATGAAGGCCTCTGAACGAATGCTGGCTTACCCTCCGCATCCGAAGGCTCCTCCCTCTCGCCCCAGCCGTGCAGGGCCTCAAAGCTCGAGTCGTTGTGAACGTCTGCCTTCCCGGCGCCGTCGGGCCAGTGTCCGCTTGGCAACCCTGCGAACAACGCGGCGTGAGCGGCCTTCCCTCCGCCGCTACCGGGCCACGAGGCAAAGGGGCTGAAAGGGTGGCGGCAAGTGTGGGTCGGAAGACATCGCTGTACCCTGGTTCTCGGGCTGCGCCAGTTTCGGGGGGACCGACTGGAATGAAGAGGCCATCGTGGCGCCGGTGCCGGCACCAGCGCTGGGGAAACCCGTCTCATACCAGTTGGGTTCCCTCCGCACGCGCGTCTTTGCCTGCCCCAGCACCCGCCGGAAATTGCCGATGAAGTTCTGCGAAAACAAGCGGGAGAGAGATAGGGAAGGAGGTAGCCCGGTTGGCCCAAGAGGGGAGCACCATGCCGGAGTATTCAGCCGGCACCACTGAAATGCCGAGTACAAAGATCAAGCAGCCACCTGTGATTAAAGCAGGTTCTGTAGCATACCGAGTTGATGCCTTCACAAACACCCATCGTATTTAATTAGGTTTTTCCATATAATTTGGCTCACTCCATGTCTGGGAATTAAAACCTGAGGTTTGAGTCAAGTGAGACGAACACCTTTTGCAGGGCATACACAAGGTCTGGTGCCACCGGCGTGGATTGAGAGGCCCATAGAAGTGGGCGTGAGAGGCAGCCTTGTGAAGTCATCGTCTTGGGTCACTGCCACGCGAGGTGTCAGAGAATGACCCGTGGCAGAAGAGTGACCTCGCCTTTCTGTCGAGTGGTTATTTGACCAAAAGTCACCATGCTGGTGAGTGCAACAGCCTTGGTGACGGTGGCTGGCTCGGGACCAGTTCAGATATCACTCGCAATCGATGTTAACCGTGGCCGGGAAGTGAAAATGCTGGTCACTCGATTCAGAGGCCGGTGGGGTCAACCACCGCACGCACCCCCCGCTTGTATTGCAATGCTCAATAGACGAAGGCGTGTAAATAATGAATGCAAAGCGCCGACACGCGTCCCCGCCGGTGTGTGCCGCTCACGTAAACGTGCTGGTAGGACATGCCGGCGCGCTCGGCCGCCTCGGCGATGAGCGCGTTGCCCTTCTCCTGCGTGCGCATGCCGCGGTACAGGTAGTAGTAGACGAGGACGCGGTTGTACTTGGGGAAGCGCTGCAGGTTCTTGACGTGCTGGAAGATCTCGCGCGGCTCCTCGCCCGCGGGCTCCTCCCCCCCGCCGCGCCTCTCATCGGGCGGCGGGCACGGCGCCTGGGCGGCCGCGTTGCCCTCCGGCGCCCCCTCCCGGCCCTCGTCCGCCGCACCTGACCCGCGGCGGCAACAACGGGAGATTCAACTTACGGCGGGAGGAGACCCGCAGCCCCGACGCGTCTTGCGTCGTAGGCGTGTCCCCGGGTTGTGTCACCCAGGCTGCCCGACACGCGGAATTCAAGCGTGATGAACGAGAAAAAAACACTTCAAAAGTTGCTGTAAAGTGCACAATTACGCGTGCAAGTGCCCTAACTCAAGAGTGCATTTTGTGCCCAAAGAGCAATTTGTACCGACCCCGGAGTAATGATGGGCTGGGTTAACCCTCCCAAAATGGGATTTGAACTCGCGACTTTTCCAATTGCGAGCCGTTCGCTTGACCGCCGAGTCACCTAATCGGTTACTATTGATGTATTCACGTGCGTGGGAGTGACGGCACAATAATCTATAACGGCACGTCTAAAATTAATTTCAGCTTTTGTCTTTCTCTCATCAATGAAATCTTAACATCCCGAGGCACACCGAGGCCTGGCTAGTTACGCATCTACAAGATACACTCAGGTCTTGGTTCACGCCTTCCTTTCACGTGCGCGCTCCCAACTCGACAAGCGGACGCGACGATGCCTCCTGCGATGCGACGCGCAGAGCTCCGTCATTGCCACCGCCTCGTCGTCCGCATGGCCAAAACCAAAAATGTGTCACAGAGCCGCTTTAAAGCAGACGAGCGAGTGGAGCACCGGGCTTGCAGGCGGCGTTGGAAGCCGACGGGGCTGGCGGAGGCCCCGGCTGTGCCGAGTTGAGGCTGAGGTCCAGGCTGGCCAGCAGGTCCTCATCGCCATCCCACACTCGCGGGGGTCGCTGCTTCGACTCCCCCCTGGCGCGCCGGAAGTTCCCGATGAAGTTCTGAGTTGCAGTGGGGCAAGGGCGGTCGGGGTGGGGAAGGAAAGGAGGTGCCGCGTCAGGGCACGGGGAGCCGTTGCAATTAACGCACGTACAGCTGTTGGGTCTTGTTTTTTAAGCCGAGGTGGAGACGGGGGCTGGTGACGAGGTGGAGACTGGGAGTCGTGATGATTGTGGCTCATGACGAGGTGGAGACTGGGAGTCGTGACGAGGTTGAGACTGTGGCTAGTGGTTGTGCTCGGTCATCTCGTGCGACTCGGAAACATCATTATCAGCGAAGATTATCACACTGCGGGTTGAAGACCTCGCCAAGAAACCAACGCCACCACCCCCACGCACTCCTGCGACGTAACGGCCATCTCGACATCTCGTCTGCGCATGTCGTGTGGTGTGTAGCGGCGCAGGCACTCACGTAGACGTGCCGGTAGGTGACCCCAGGCGCTCATTGCGGCCTCGGCGATTAGCGGGTTGGCCTTCTCCTGCGTGCGCATGCCCTTGCACAGGTAGTAGTACACGAGGATGCGGTTGTACTTGGGAAACCGGTCAAGCACCCTGAGAATCACACGCACACAACGACAACCCCCACTCAAAACTAAACTAGAAACTATGTTAATTTTACCAGGTAAGGCCCACTGAGCTATGTAGCTTTTTTCAGAAGCGACCTGGCCACAAATGATAGCTCAACTAAGTGGCTTATCATGTGAAAATGTCTTGTTAGTCAACATCTTGCAACTGTGGCGCCCACTCTTAGCTCTACAAAAGTTTACTCAGTAGAATGCAAACCTGAAGCGGTTAGGGTTGATAGACGATTCACCGCTCACCGATTCACTCCAGTCACTCGCTCACCGGCGGTCAATCGCCGGTAATGATTTGTTTTTGATACGGTGCCATCCTTTACACAGGGGCATCTCGTAGCGTTTAACGTCACAACTCATTTGAAAGGGCACCCTCAGTGGCAGCTGTCCCAAGGTGACTCGGCACCTGGCCTCTAAGTGGGCAATAGTCTGCCAGTAATGGGCGATGATTTCAATCCATAATCCCAATTGAGTAATTGTGGGGCATTTGTATAATTTGGCAAATTTGTACCATGGCGTCGGCACACAATGGCCTACTCATGATATCGCTATTACCGTGTGGTTACAGTTTCTATGAACGTCGCTGACGTTGTTGGCTAAGTAAACGCACCAGATGTTCACTGTAGGCATCTGCGTACGAGTGCAGGTGTTAGACGCAGTGAGTTTCTCACTTTGAGATGTCTTGAAGCTTTGGAATCACAGACAGGAATCTGGAAACAGATAGACTTACAGTTTAATCTAAATTTATGTACGTATGTTGAACTTCTTTCACACCGTACGAAGCCAACCGTGCTAATTGGAGGTGCGGGGGAAGGACAACGAAACACAAGATAAATTGTGTTCAATGCTATTTTTCCAAGATATGGGTGCAATGCATTAAAACTATAAAAATGGGATAACTTACTTGTCTGCGCCTCCAGTGGCTTGGCCCTGAAAAAAATAAGATATTTTTATTTTACAATTGTCTATCCAAGAAAGTCCCAAGATACTTGCAGGAGGGGGGAGAATATTGTGATGTATAATTCCAAATGAGTAATTTGTAGGTCATTTTTCAGCATGTGGATGTTTAGGCAATACCAGTTACATTAAAACCGGAGACCCTGTAGCAAACCGATGCACAGAACGGGGGGAGAGAACACACAAACTCCACGCAGAAAGGTGCCGAGTCAGGAATCGAACCCAGGCCCCTTGCTGCTGTGAGGAACGATTCTCACCACTGCGCCACCCAAACATGAAGCGACATCCGTAAATACTCGCTTGCCATCCTGAGCGCCTGGTATCTATCAAAGTTTCGCAAGACTTACGGAAACATCGAAGTATGAAAAAATGAGAATAGGTTTTACCCTTTCTAGCAAGAAAGCAGAAGGTGTGAAGATGTTCAAACACCAAATAGAAACGTTTAGCAAGGAATCACGTCTGCATTAACCACATGTACTTGTGGTGAACATGAAAACAAACATGCTCTGATAATATATGGTATTTTCTTCGAAACTGATTGGCCTCGTCTCACCAATGTCAGACCAGAGAACGCCAAAAGACGAACAGTGTTTGAACATCTTAACAGCTCTTCTTTTACTGTCAGAAAAGGTAAAACCTGTTCCTACTTTTTTCAAACTTTTATATTGGCAAAAAGGTCCCATGTCGAAACAATGAACTTCAAAATCTAGCTGCATACCTAGATTATGTGTCTCTCCGCATGCCCCACATACATTAAGCGTTAGGCGATAAGCGACATTTTCAATTCACAACTTAGTTCCTATGTGTTTTAACGTCAATTAAATTACATAATGTGAGCAAACCCATGTCGACGTGCATGACCGCAACTTGGCTAATTACTCATGAATGAAGATTTAAATCAACGCCTCTCAACCCCGTGGGTCGTTCAATCGGCAGCTGTAGGCTGCGGCCTGGGCACCCTGCCGGGGGAAATTTCAAACGTGCGCGAGGAATGTCAGCATCATGCAACGGTGACGAAACGCACATACACAAGGCAGAACAAATACCTTCGGAACATCGTGTTCACTAGAGGCGTGGACATGTGGTCTCTCTCCTTGTGTTGTGGCCTAAATAACCCTAAAGGGGTGGGGGCCAAGGAGGCTGGGGGGGGGGTGTAATGAGGCCCCTGTGGTTTTGATGGGACTGGGGGGGAAGGAACCAACCTTTGAGGACCATGGTTTTAAACTATAAACAATTTTTATTTTACCAGGTAAGGCCCATATAGCTCTTTTTTAGAAGCGACCTGGCCACAAATAGGTCAACGAAGTGGCTTATCACGTGGAAATTTATAGCACACGACCACAGGGAGAACATGCAAACTCCAAATATACAGCAAGCGTCAGGGTCGGGATCGAACCCACAGCCTCCTGTATACCAGGCGAGGTTGTTAACATCTCGTCGCCGTGGCGCCCAACTCACGCCGCACAACCCGGGTCCCGCAGGGCGGCACGCGTCTTAGTCTACAGAGTGGCTCTCAGGAGCGCGGTCATAGACCACCGGTGGTCCACGACGGTCCTCCAGGTGCTTCCCGGTGGCTGCGATGCAAATGCAGCTTGATCCGGAAATAATGACAATGTTTAAATTAAATTTTTTAAACTAAGTTAGGCAAACTACCCCTAACCCTAAGATGTAAATGCCCCCGCTAAAAATAAACCTTAGAGCTGCGAAAATTTGTTTTCATTCCGGTAATATGAACAGTTTCGTACGACTACTATTTAGAGCGATAAGTGAATGCACCAGTGGCGGGAGGCTGGGTGGTCCGCGGGGTCCTCACGTTTGAGAAACGCCGCTCTACAGAATAAGCGGCGCTTTGTTTTGCATGCTGCGCCTTGCTCTGGACTTGCACAGCTAACCTCTCCGCGGACCGCGCGGGTCTCCGGTGCCGTGTGGACGCAGGCGGGCGAGGGCGCTGCGCACCGTACCCACCTCGTCCTGGGACACCTCGCCCGAGTCCAGCACGTCGGGGCCCTGGTACCAGAGCTGCTGCTGCTGGTCGCCGCACGCAGGGCTGGCCGCTCCGCCAGGGTCTGCGCCACACACGCGCACAAAGACAAAGGTCCCCTGTATAGCCTTAATAGACTGCTGGGGCAGGCGCTGTTTGCGAGTAGCACCTTTGAAGGCCGGCATGGCACGCGAGGGGGTGTGTGGCCAGCAACACGCCCGGCCGCCTTTGTCTCTTGAGTGGCGAAGTTTACACACCGCACCAGGTACTCATTTGAGGCCGAGTCGGCCTAGGGGAGGCCCAGGACCAGTTCAGATAACCGTCAATGGTGTTGGCCATGAGCGGGAATCGAATTAGGGTCATCGGGTTCGTAGCGCAGCACGCTAATCGCTACACTAACCGCTCCTTACACGCACACAGGCGCGCACACACGCACCATGAAACAAAGCAGGCTTCTATACCCTTGCCCATGTCCCCATACAATCGTCACTCAACACGCCCGTCACCATTCATTTCAGCTTATGCTTCACATAACCCGGGTAAACCGAACGGCATTAAATAACCCACGTTTTTTTGCGGAGCTACTTCTGGCTACGCACATGAAATATGACGCTTGTACATTTTGTGTAAGCACAACCCTTTTACTGATAATTACAAGACCCCTTGTGGCTACAAAACCAGCTATGCAGCTTAGCAATGACAATGCACAGATTTACACAGCCTTCCGGAAAGATTGGTAACAAAAAACTTTCAAAACAAATATTTATTGAACAGAGCAACGTCACGCTTCGCAGCAGTGCGTGTGCTGCAACACGCCGGCGCGGGTGATAAGCGTGCACACCTATCACACGCGTGCGTGCGGTTTCTTTGCCGCACATTTCTTTGTGTGCAGTTAATTCCCCAAACAAAACGAAAGTCCCCTTCACGCACTGGCCCGTCAGCTTGTTGGTTTGCTCGCGAATGTTAATCTAACATTTTTTTGGTAAATCACCGAGCTATGAATCTAATTTCGAGCGCCGACACTGGGCAACAATTCATCTTACGGGAACAGATGCTCCGTGCCAGCCAGGGAGGGGTATGGCTCACCCGCAGCGTCGCTCTGGTTGTACGTTCCGTCGCACGCGATTTCCACCTTCAGCCAGTCGACGTCCAGGCCCTGCCCGTCTTGCTCACAGAGCACTGCCGACGGGTTTCCAGGCAGGCACGGCTCCCTGACTGTCCGGGGAGGTAGGAGAACACGGTAGGTAGGAGAACACGCCATCGGGGGTCAACGCCTGCCTACTCGCAGCCGGCGTGGTCATTCAACGACTTCTCAGATGCCCAGCCCCACGTGCCCATTCTAATGGTAATGCAATTTGCACAGCTGCACCACTCTCAGTTTAACCGTCACAGCCACACATGTTTGACATTCTGTCTTAATCTTATTACATTTTTATTCCATTTGTGCTAAGGCCGTCACGTCACGAGTATTTTGAACTCGCAAGGAGCAGTAGCAAACCGTGTATTAGAGAACAGTCCACAGTGGGCACTTTGATTCCCATATTCACCGACACAGGGAGAACCTGTTACAATAAAAACCAACGTTTTAAATAAAAAACAACTGAAATTTTGCCGAAATTAAGTGACGAACTAAGTGCCAATGCGACGTTTTGTTCTTGTGCAGTCATTTGTGACAGTGTTGACACCATAAACTGGCGACACTTGAGAACACGGTTTATTCATGGGTAGCCAAAACCCGCATTCAATGGGACCCCAAAGCTCCGAGCCGTGAGCAACGCAGCCACCCCACCCTCACCTTCCTCAGACTTGACAGGGACGGTCGACCAAGCCTCCGACTTGATGTGAAGCTGCGAGTCTTGGCTCTGCCGCGCGTCGGACGGACGGCGCTCTGTCCTGTCCTCCATGGCTGATGGGAGACAGCGGTCGACGGGGGAAGACAGTGAATAAACATCGCTCTGGCTGGAGCACTGGGTGGAACTGACGATAGTAGGAATACGATATCGCTGACCGTGTTACGATTGACCAGCAGGAATAAGTGCATTTTAATTGATTAAATAGACTGTATCACAGTTGACATCGCCTCTCCCGTGCCTTGTAAACGGCAAAAAGCAGTCTCTTTGTTACCATATTACACATATCAGAGCTACAATTGATGCCAAGGCCAGCTGCTGCCCACGAACATCTGATTGTACACGGACAGACAATGCTCACAATCACGGTCCTTTGAATTCAAATATACTCGAAGATTGCGCAGAATGCACTGGAAAGGGCATTCACACACCACCCAGAGCAACTCTAGGGGTCACATAAAGGCAGCGCTCCCTCCGATTACAGCACTGTACTAATCACCGCGTGCGGAATAAACGAGCACGGCACTCATGGCAAGCGACCACGTTGCCCGTGCAGCGGGGACAATTATTGGCCCACTGTGTGCATGCAACAGCCTATACTTAAGGCTCAATTTGTTATAAACACGGACGTTTAAGAGGGGATGTGCCCGGAATACAATATGGACAGTGACTGGTATTGGACCTTAAGCACACACGTTGCGCTGAATGCATGTGCACGGTCGCCATGTGCATTGTGTACAAGTCAATGGAGATTACGAAAAAAAGAGTAATGGATTTGTGATTTTAGTTGTCGAATGTATTCAAGGGGAAGTGAACATTGTAGTATTACGTGTGCTCTTTAATAAGATGGTTGTATTCCTTGTTAGTAAACTACGAGCTGTGTGATTCACAGCTGTTTCTGAACAACAGCAGCATACGTGGAGTTTCTCCTTCAACACGTGGTTAAATAAGGGACGTCAAGAGACACATGTTAACAGGTGCCATTCGCGACTAAGTGGCACCGACTGAACCACAGCGTTGCTGCCAGCCTAGGTGCCCTTCGATGTTACCTGGAGAAGTGAAGACTTGATCAAGGTCACGGAACAGGGCCATGTGTCAAACAAAGATTAATATCCCCCGTATAGCCTTAAGAGAATGTTGGGGCAAGTGCTGTTAGCGAGCACCTATGAAGGCCGGCACGTCACGGGAGGGTTGAGTGGCTAACACCACGGCCAGCCGCCTTTGTCTGTGGCGATATTTACACATCGCACCAGGTACTCATTTGAGGCCGAGTCGACCTAGGGGCGGCCCAGGACCGGTTTAAATAATCATCACCGGTGTTGGCCGTGAGCGGGAATCAAACCCGGGTCGCCAGGTTCGTAGCAAAGCGCTCTAAACGTGACACTACCGCTCCCCACATGCATGTCAAACACGCATGTATACAGATACATACAGGACAAGTACATCGACAAAGATCCCCCACATCGCCTTGACAGACTGTTTGGGCAAGTGTTGTTTGCGAGCACTAATACACACAGACGCATACATATCCTTACATGAACGCATATGGAACAAACTAAAACAAAATCACATTTTGGTGACCTGAGTCATGTAAATGAGACTGCCCTCGTCTCTTCCGTGTTCTCAGCTGTTTAAACAAAATAAACATTAAACTTGTAAACGATAATAAACTTGAAGCTAAGGAATGCCCGTCGACTGAAAAAAAACACTCATAGCTCAGTGAGCTTTACCTGGTAAAATAAACGTAGTCGAGTTTAGGTATATTTATTTATTTATTCCGTAATTTGCTCACCCTTCATATCCTTTGCGCTCGTATCGTTCATTTGTGTTTTGTTTTGTTGTTCTAAGTTTCTAACTCCGCCCCTAATAAAGATTCAGATTCTATAATGAAGGGAATCTGAATCTGTATTATAGAAGTCCGGTAGGGGTGGATCAGGAAATGGAATGGTAGCTACATTTCTTAAACCCCTCACACTGACATGAAAAGCCAACACTATACCAGAAGGTACAACATGAATGCACGCGTTAAAAGGTTAACAGGGAATTACGCGCAGCCGTGCTTTGTGGAATGACAGGGCTGGATTGCAACAAATAAACGTTAAACCAGACAAGATTAACGAATTCATAATAAAGGTTTTTGGGTTAGATCGCGTTATTTATAAATAGTGTCGCAACCCTCCACCACCCGACACGGTCAATCAGTAAAACATGTGTCACGTTGACAAAAACAAATAGTTCACTACTTTAGCGCACCTGCCGGCGTGTTGAAAAGATTAACGAATGACAGCTCATATGTGAAGCCTCATTACCCCCAACGGCGCGGGGTTGACTTAACTCACAAAACCAAAGTGGAATGATATGGAACAGCAGCTGTTTTCTATGGCATGACATGCCGAGAATACCGCATGAAGATAAACCAGCCGCCATTCACCACTAAGCGACGGCGACGTTACCGCAGCGAGTGTGCCAGGATAGGTGCACGTCTAAGGCCACGTGAAGGGTCAAAGGTTCGCTGGCAGGAGGTCACAGGACCCCCCCCCCCCGCCTGCCTGGACTGCCGAGACAAAGATTCACAATTTCGCGCACCACCCACCGTAAGTTAAGTGAGGCTGTCAGCGAGCCTCTATTAAGGCCAACAGTATCCTCAAAGTGCACCTAGCCTGGCACTGCCCACGAGTTGTTTCCACCGAGGTCGACCTTGACACCACTGGTACCAGTCATCGTGAATAGGCTCCCAAAGCCTCGCGTGCCACATCCAGCCCGTGAAACTCGCATTCACTTCCCCTATCCCCCCCACACAATCACTCGCAACACGGATCAGCCAGCTCTCGTCTCTATGCCGCGCCCGTTTATCCACCCTCTCTATCAGGGATACAACACACACACAAGACAAAGATATCCACCCTCTCTATCAGGGATACAACACACACAAGACAAAGATAAGACAAAGAACCCCCCTCTCGCCTTGAACGCACTATTCAAGTGCCGCTATGAAGACGACTAAGCACACGAGGGGAATGGGTGACCAACGCAACACCCGCCCGCCTTTGTCTCCCCGGCGTTGTTGACGTTTAACACACACGGGGTATACTCATCATACGATGGGGTTGTTTGGTCGCGAGGTTGAACGCAACTCGGGGGCATCCGCCGTGTCGAGACGTCGAGGTGCAGCGCTAACCGCTGCGCCACCACTCCCCACGACACCAAAGACAAAGACCTCCCGCGTAGCCTTAACAGACTGTTGGGGCAAGTGCTGTTAGCGAGCACCTATGAAGGCCGGCATGGCACACGACGGGGTGGATGGCCAGCACCACGCCCGGCCGCCTTTGTCTCCCTAGTGGCGATGTTCACACCACACCAGTTACTCGTTTGAGGCTGAGTCGACCTAGGGGAGGCCCAGGACCGGTTCAGATAATCGTCACTGGTGTTGGTGGCCGTGAGCGGGAATCGAACTCGGCTCGCCGGGTTCGTAGCGCAGCGTGGCGCTAACCACGACACTACCGCTCCCCACAACACCGTACAGTAACACACAACACAATCTGGCTGCTGTCAGCCTGACGATGCCGGTTGTAATTACTGGCGAAACGTTCGTACTCAGGTTGTGAATGTTGTGGCTTTGCTCTCCAACACACAACCGATGTGCTGTACTAGTGACGAATTGGCACGTTCTGTTTACGTGATAATCCTTACTAGTTGGCTGTGTCGGGTGGTGGCGGGTTTAACGACACGTTTATAGTTACGCGATCTACCCAAACAACCTGTAACTATGGATATTGCTCGCGAAAGCCTACGTGGTGTTAAACACACAACACATTCACCTACACACACACACACACTCACCTACACACACACACACACTCACACACACTCACACACACAACACACACTCACCTACACACAACACACACTCACCTACACACACACACACAACACACACTCACCTACACACACACACACAACACACACTCACCTACACACACACACACAACACACACTCACCTACACACACACACACAACACACACTCACCTACACACACACACACAACACACACTCACCTACACACACACACACAACACACACTCACCTACACACACACACACAACACACTCACCTACACACACACACACAACACACTCACCTACACACACACACACAACACACTCACCTACACACACACACACAACACACTCACCTACACACACACACACAACACACTCACCTACACACACACACACAACACACTCACCTACACACACACACACAACACACTCACCTACACACACACACACAACACACTCACCTACACACACACACAACACACTCACCTACACACACACACAACACACTCACCTACACACACACACAACACACTCACCTACACACACACACAACACACTCACCTACACACACACACACAACACACTCACCTACACACACACACACAACACACTCACACAACACACACACTCACACAACACACTCACCTACACACACACAACACACTCACACAACACACTCACCTACACACACACAACACACTCACCTACACACACACAACACACTCGCCTACACACACACACGACACACTCGCCTACACACACACGACACACTCGCCTACACACACGACACACTCGCCTACACACACACACGACACACTCGCTGACACACGCCACACTCACCTACACACACACAAACACTCACCTACACACACAACTACACACACCTACACACTCACCTACACACACACACAACACACACTCACCTACACACACACACAACACACACTCACCTACACACACACACACAACACACTCACAACACAACACACTCGCCTACACACGACACACTCACCTACACACACACGACAATGTTGTGCAGGAGAGGGAGGGGGGGAGCTCACTAAACACGGCGCCCGCGAATCGCCATTCGACGGCGTCGACCCCGAGGCCAGCCTGGGCCGCGCCCACCCCGCGGTGACACCGACAGCACGAAGCGTGCGCCGATAAACACGGGGGGGGGGGGGGGGGGGTGGGACACAACAACAACAACAAAACAACAACGACAACAACAACAACGACGACGACGCGCCCGAGGCCAGCGGCCTCAAGTTGACGACAATGCCCGCGATGCGCGAGCAGGACGGGGGGGGCGGCTCGCTCTACCATTCCCACCAGCGCCACAAACACGTCCACGTGTCTCTCGCCTCTTGGAGACGAGGCAGAGAGGAGACGAGAGACAGAGAGAGACGAGAGGGAGGAGAGAGTCGCCGGCTCGTTACCTGCAGCAGCAGCAGCAGCAGCGAGCGGCCACTGAACGCGGCCGCGGGCGGCGAGGTAAATAGTAAATAAATAAATAACCCTCGCGGGAGGCCCCCGCCGGAAGTTGCGGAGCGTTTGCCACCCCCACTGAGTGGAAACTCGCCGCCACGCGCCTCGATTTCGTTCCGGGTTCCGAGGGGTTTATTTTACAGGGACCACGTGCGTCGATAACACCACGCCCTCGTGTGTGTGTCTGTGTGTACGTGTGTGTTTGTGTGTACATGTGTGTGTGTACGTTTGTGTGTACGTGTGTCTGTGTGTACGTGTGTGTGTTTGTGTGTACATGTGTGTGTACGTGTTTGTGTGTACATGTGTGTGTACGTGTTTGTGTTTGTGTGTACATGTGTGTGTGTACGTGTGTATGTACGTGTGTTTGTGTGTACGTGTGTGTGTGTGTACGTGTGTATGTACGTGTGTTTGTGTGTACGTGTGTTCATTCCATCCAGAAAGTAACCTGCAGCGCCACACGCCCACACCTATTACCATCATTAGGGGAATAAACGGTGATCCAATCTCCTGCCCCCAGGAACAGGTTTGCAGATTTGCTGAGCATTTCTGTGAGGTCCTGGGGGAGGGGAAATCCCTCCACATGGAAAACATCGTGGGACAAAGTGGGGATGACCCTGCTGAGGCTGCGGTGCCTCAAATATTGGAGGAAGTCACCTCCTGTGAGTGGCTGGCTGAGGTGCCATCCGTTGAGGAAGTACTGAAGGCGATCCCAAGTCTGAGACCAGGAAAAGCACTGGGCAGAGATGATCTCCCAAGCGAAATGCTGAGGGAGGGTGGCGTTTGTGCACAGACTGCCCTACATGACATCATAACAACAGTCTGGACCACTGGATGGGTTCCGCAGGATTGGAAGGATGCCCTAATGGTCCCCCTCTTTAAGAAGGGGGACCGCACAGACTGTAACAACTACAGGGGCATCTCACTCTTCAGTGTGCCGGGAAAGGTCCTGGCAAGGATTATTCAACATCGCCTTGCCAGGCACGTTGAGGAGAGGCTTGCGGAGCCCCAATGCGGTTTCAGGAAAGGGCGGTCCTGCACAGATGCCATATTTTCTGTCCGTCTGTTACAGCAGAGGTGTAGGGAATTCCAACAAGACCGACATCTCTGCTTTATAATGAGTACCTGGTGTGAAGTATGAGAATCGCCACTAGGGAGACAAAGGCGGCCGGGCCTGGTGCTGGCCACATATCCCCTCGCGTGCCGTTCCGGCCTTCATAGGTGCTCACTAACAGCACTTGCCCCTAGTCTGTTCAAGGCTATAGGGGGATCTTTGTATTTGTGTGATTGTGTGTGGCAGTACTCTGTGCCAACTGGCCCAGTGGGGAAGGGGGGCACAGCTGGTGGTGCATCTAAAGGTCATCTCAGTCCACCCGTGGAACCTGCTGGGGATGTCCCAAAATCTCCTGCACCTAGCCTGGCACAGTAGTGGGTACAACAGGTGGTGCATCTACCGGTCATCTCAGTCAACCCATGGCACCTGCTGGGGATGTGCCGAGATCTCCTGCACCTAGCCTGGCACAGTAGTGGGTACAACAGGTGGTACATTTACCAGTCATCTCAGTCAACCCATGGCACCTGCTGGGTCTGTCCCGTGACCTCCTGTCGGCGAGCCTTCGACAACTTCACGTGGTGGCCTCAAAGTGCACCTGGCCTGGCACAGGCACCGTCACCCTTCTTTATAACAGCACGCACATGCGCTATGGCGAAGGGCTATTGCCAGAATCGTCGCCTGGCACTGTTTACTATATATTTGTGTTGTTATTCACCCACGTGTTCAGTTTGTCACAGAAAAAATAAACATAACGGAGGCGAGATTGCACGGACGCCACGTGAGTGGTTTTTGACACGTCAGATGCAGCGCTCGGGATGGGAAATCAAAAGTGCACACGCAGCGGATTAATCAAAGATCTATCCAGGTTATTAATTAACACTCACATATCGGCACGAAGACTGCGTCGTTCTGTTTTTGGCGTTCTTGCTTATTTCGCGCAGAGATCGATGTAAACATTCAGCATCAATGTTGATGAGCCCATTAGATCATGAATGATGATCAGTCTCTAGAATTGCTCAATCTCCATGTGCTGCTGTTGCAGGGCCCACACACAAAACGTCACGTCTCCATGATGTTATGGTAGTAGTAACAGAGTGGTTATGATCTTAAGAGATATAACAACGGGCCCCCCAGGCTGCTGCTGTTCAAGAGTCAACACTTTTAAGGCTACAAAATAATCCGCACGTTTATATTTTGTAATGCAATGTTGTCGGAGAGCGGCAGCGTGGTGGAGACCCACGTGTGGCCTCGGAGAAAAAACTTCTGGGCTTGATTCCCGACTCGGGCGCCTTTCTGTGTGGCCCATAATCACAAATCTGCCTGTCGCCTGATGAAGCTAGTTGCAATTACTGGCGAAACGTCCTACTCAAGATTGTACATTTTGTGGATTTGCTCTCCAAAACACCAGTGTGTTGGCAAGCAACTCCACAATATTTACACTATATATATTATTTAAAATATATTCTAAATAATTTATTGTATATATTGTAAATGTGGTTATATATATACAATATATTTAAATATTGTGGGGATATTATTTATTTACAATACATATTTACGCGATCTAACCCAAAAAGCCTATATTATGGATATTGGTCGCGAAAGCCTCCGTGTTAAATGTTTCTGTAAGGCAGGGGTGGGGAACCTTCTTTCTGCCAAGGGCCATTTGGATATTTATAACATCATTCGCGGGCCATACAAAATTATCAACTTAAAAATTATCCCGTTATATTTGGTCAAACATTTAATTAACTCACCCCTAACGTGATGGCTGGAACTGCTTCTCTTTGGCGAGGCGTGTGATGTTAGCTGGTATTGATGATGTTGCTGCTACTCGCAACTGATTTTCCAGGTTTGCTCCGAGATTTATTGAATTTCGAGTCCCGCCTGCGGTTGCCTTGGCAGGGCCACACCAAATGATTTCGCGGGCCTTGTACGGCCCGCGGGTCGGACGTGCTCCCCCACCCCCTGGTCTACATCACTCTTCTTCGGGATTCTCCAGTTTCCTCCCATAGACTCGAACAGAAATAGGAAATTACGGCCCCACGGCGATACACTTCCTTGTGAGCCGTCATGTGGATCGTGGTTGTTGAAACTCCACAGACATAATAGGGTCTTCTTCTGTTTGTGAAATGAGGCTGCATGCGGGTTGTGTACCAGTTGTGTCCGTGTGAGTTGTTTCCCTGTGAGTTGTGTGTCCCTGTGAGTTGTGTGTGCGAGTTGTGTGTCCCTGTGAGTTGTGTTAGTGCGTTGGTGCGATCATCGCCTGGGGCTGCAATGCGTGTTCCATGCACGATGCGTGAGAATTGACATCCACGTAACTGGAATTCTTTGCCCAATGTTCTTTCGCTGAATAAATTCCCTTCAATGTTGAGAACAGGAGCACGTTTATGGTAAAGCAATTCATGAAGTTTGTGAGAAAAACATTTTAAAAAACACGACAACGCAAAATTTGCATTTTCCCAAGCACTATAGTTTATTTCGTTCTCAACGTGTTACCTACTTACGATGCCACCCCAGGGGTACAACAACAAGTTTGTTACAGAAGTAAAACCCCAGGCACGTGCTTACGGAGGCATCTTGCCACAGACATCCCACAGTGCAACAACCATCACCTTCCACCCGTTGTAATTAAGGTCATGACATAAGGCAGCTGTATCCTCACTCCTGCTGAAAACCTTCTGTTGGTAAGATCTTTGATTCAACAAAACCCACACTTTCGTCGGTACGAGTGATCGAACAGGATATATATCCTTCACACCAGATGTTAAACGAGTGTTCACCGAAGCAAACATCAAATGTCCAAGCCATGTCACATTGCCATAGTCACATTCAACCTAACAGCTTGTCGATACGAAACGTCTGTTTCGATTCCGAGCGACTGAGATTGACAACCTTTATCAGCGGGGGGGGGGGGGGGGGGTTTCTGTGTGAATTTAAGCAAAATAATCCTAGACAAAGGACCCGGACTTTCCAGTTCAAAACCTTGCTGTGTCTGCGCCCCTCGAAGCCACCACACTAGGGAGTGGCATTCGTAAGCCACGCAATGGCGCACCAATGAGTTGCACGGCGATCATTCAAGCGAGTGCACAATTGTGACGTTGGCCGTGCAAACAATAATCTCGTGGGACCAAAGTACGATCCATAATTGCTGCACTGTATTTGGTGAGGACATCAGTTCGACAATTGGACCCATGTGTTTGACACTAAAATCCTGCCTGCGCGTAGCCACATGTTTACTATCGCAATTACGGTTCTAAAATAAACATGGTGCTAGCGCAAAACATGACCAACTTTACAATGTTGATAACACAAAACTAGACACGAGATCAATTAAATTACGTAGTACAGTACAAACGTATGTCATTATGCTGGGAATTAAGTGCTGTAAGTGCCTGGGAGTGGTGAATGCTCATTTAAATGGTTTGAATCAAACTCACTCCAGTAAACCAAGCAGTGCAATTGTCTTAAACTATGAAAGCATTTTAACGTAAGAATATTTTTTTACTTTTTTTTTAGCTGCCAACAGTTATGTCTCGTGTCTCTTCACAACCGAGTCTCGTATCACCAGCCCCCAATTCCACTCGCCCATCTAAGCCACACCAATGAGGGGCCCTTATAATTATGGGTGGTGTTCCACTGGCGATTTGCCAAGCCCGCACAACCCATGAAACTCAGGCCTCGAAAGACATCTCTATCTGGCTTGGGAGCCAAGCCGGGCCACGGGGAGAGAGAGAGAGGGTTTGTTATTCACTTTCCTCATTGTGTATTTTGATGTCAGTGGCACGGCTTGGGTTCTGCAGTGGGGGGGAAAAAACGTGGTGCCTACTGACCCTTCATTGGCGCTGGCGTGGCTCTGACAGAACTGAAGACATTTTGGGGCGATTGCTATGGATGGGAGGCAAGCCAGCAGCATCGACGACGCACACAAACCACCTCGACCGAGAACATTTTGTAACAAAGCTGTGAGCAGGTTTGCAAATCTGAGCGCGACGCTGAGACCCAAACTCCTAAGTTTACGAGTGGTGTCGCCGGACATCTGACATCCACATTGCAGCAGGCAGCGAGCGCACTTTGGTGTTTGCATGCTGAATATACCACGTGGCTGTAGGAATCGAAACCGCTGACTCTAAATACCTTGACGGTGGCGAAAGCGTGTTGTCTGGAGGTCGAAATGAGAAGACATTTTCAAAATGCAGCTGCCGCTGCGGCATTGTGAATAGGCAATCAATATTTGACCCCTGAAGTTCATCGGTGTTGTGTTGTCTAGAACAAAGAATTTACATTTTATGAGATAGGGTCCACTGAGCTATCTAGCAATTTTTCAGAAGCGACCTGGCCACAAATGATAGGTCAACTAAGTGGCTTATGTGGAAGCATATAGCAGCCATTTACTATAAACGCATGTTTCTAAATGTGGAGGAAAAAACCAGAGGACCTGGAGAAAAATCCACGTGACTAGAGCGAGAAGTGCAAACTCCACATATGCAGGCATCGTCAAGGGTCGGGATGGAACCCACGGCCTCCTGTATACCAAGCAAAGTAGTTAACATCTCGCCACTATGAGATGTTGTGATGGTGAAGAGCCACAGGGGAGAGGTGATAAAACGATCAGACCACCCGTGGCGTCTGCAGACCCATCAGCCGCTCTCCCCCTCTACTGTGCACTCGGCTTCGCGAGCACCTGCAAAACAAAAACACAACACGTGAGCGCTGCAGCCGGGCAGTTACGGTCATCGGGTACATTTTGAACCTTTCCCCAGCCTCAAAGAGTCCAGAACACTGGGCTCTGCACGATGCCTAGGTATAACTCCACATGCATTCAATCGTCCACACGTGAAGTCGTTGTCGCTCAAGGAACTCTCAACCAACATCCGCCAATAACACCGTGTCCTTTCAAGGAACAATATATATCGGGCGACGTTTCGGCCTATGGCCCTTATCCGTCACACGTAAATTAGCGAGGCCAGAGAGGCGGTGTCATTGACGAGTGCGTTGCGATGTTTTGTTGTTGTCCGAGCTTGTGCACCACTGTGAACGCAGGAGCATCACCAAATATCTCTTCAACTAGTTCTGCAGTGGGAAATGTTCTGTAAAGCTTACAAAGCGTAACCATGGCGCCTTCATGACAGCCCTTGCACTGTTAAGAATGGCGCAGGGGGCCATCAACAGCGTAGAGTTATTAATGAATGAATTTGGGCAGCGCAGGCTGTGTGGTGTGGTGAAGCCACCCGCTGGCACGTGCGAGAGGAGTGACCTTGGCTTTGAGGACGGGACGCGTGACCCCGAGGAGGTCACACAGCTGGTTCCTCGTCTCGATCACCACCGGCAGAGTCGCGTCCCTGGACGGGGGGGGGGCGAGGGGGGGAGCTGTCAGCCTAATGCCGATGGTCGATGCAGGCACCCAAACTCACTCGGCACACAAGAACACAACGTTGGTTTACCATTGAAACTTTATTTCTTTAAAGGCGCATTTCACAAAACCAAGGGCCCTGAACGTAAACTTATCCTCCATTAAAATGTTAAAACCATGCAATTAAAATAGTTGATCATATTGCCCTCTAACCACACAACTTGTAAAATTTCTTTAGTTTTCATCGGTAAAAGCCAGGCAGAACAGCTACGGTCAGGCGGTCCGTTTGTCCGAAGAGCAGGGGATTTAAAACCCGACCATTTTGCTCAACATACGTGCCATCAACTGTGCACGTGCAAAATTATAATTTGTAATCTATGCAAATGATGTGCAAACCGTACACTGCATGCCAGTTATATTTAGACGGAGTGAACAAAACGGTACAAGCGAGACGGAAAAATTACGAAGAAGATTGCCAAGGCTAGTTATGGAATCAGATTGTGATCCGACTCACGGCAATTCATCAAATTGCTTTGTGGTGGGGGGGGGGTATTTGCGACACTGTTAAGTGCCTCGAAGTTACACCCAAACGTACATGGCTTGATTTACGTTGCACCGTTCCCTCCGCAATAGTCATGCACCAGTAGGTCTGACTGAGTGCCAACTTAAAACCGTTGTAGATACGTTCGCTTGTGACCTCACCGCTCGCAATCCCAGGTAACGGCGAGCTGGGAGTGGTGACGCACGCCCGCACGTTGGAGGCGTGGTTTGGTGACTGATGCGGGGGGTGGCCAAGCGACAGTACAGCAAGTGGGTCCCTGAAACCAATTTTGCTGACGAGCTGTCCCCTCATCCGTGGGGGGCTCTGTCCCTTCGTCTGTGGGGGGCTCTCTCCCCTCGTCTTCAGGGGGCTCTGTATAGATGCTCGCCTTTCCTCCCCCACATGGTGTGCGCGTCTCAAAGAGGAAACGGCCAAACACAAGCCCGACCCAGGACCCTCCTGAGAGGGAGTCGCGAGACTCGGCGAGGCTGCCCCGAGCGAGCGGCAAATGTTGCCGATTACGTGCGCGTGTGTCTGTCCACGCGATGGACCGCATCCACCGTCACCGCGGGCACACCCACCAGTTGGTGTCGCTCAGCAGGCTCATGATCTCCTCCGCGGCGTCCGGCTCCACGATGTCGTCGTACACGAGCATCGTCTCATACAGCTGGCTCGCCGTCACCTTGCGGATCTGCCGGAGGGGAGAGACGACGCGCACGCTCACCGCCGACCGCTGACCGGTGACCGATGACCGCCAACCGCATATGCTGACGCAGCCGGGAGGGGGGGGGGGGCCCAGATGACGCATGCCGGTGGATTAATCGAGCAACCGCAATGCAGACGAAGCCGGATGGCTGACGATGAAGCCAGGAAGCGAACGCAGTGTGGGGTGACGCGGGCCAACAGGGCAGCCCTGGTACGCACTATCGGGTAGCTGTGGCACAGCAACATCATGAGGTTGAGCAGGGCGTTCTTCCTCGCCTCACCGGGGAACTGGATGAGTCCGCAGAATCTGTAGGCGGCATACAGCGCGGCACTCAACACGTGCGCGTACCCACGCACGTACCCACACACGTGCATCCACACACGCACCCACAGACGCGCTCAACCACGCACGTGCACACACGCATACCCACGCACACACTCACCCGCGTACGATAGCACATACCCAACTAGTGATCGTGGCTCCACTTGGCATTCAAAAATAAAACACCCCCATTGTGGATGCTGTGACCAAGCTCCATAGTAACGTCTGAGGCTGTGTCCACGTCCTATTTACACGTGCCTGTGACAGGATTTGCTGACACCCTTATTGATTTGTATATAAGCACTGCTGATTGTTTAACCTGTTTACGGTGAGTGTTGGCGTGGGTTTCATGTTCATTATTTATTGTTTTTGCTCTCGTTAGTTTGCACAATCCCACCCTGCAGTGTCCCGTGACCGCCACCACTGCCGATGCTCTAGGGCTGCGGTCGTCCATAGAACAGAGCCGCTGGGCTCAATGGGACCTTACCCATCTGAAATAACCAAGCCGAGTCGGAGTGTCCATGGGAGAATGCTCATCCTGTCGCCCAGCCTCTGTGTCGGCTCGTAGCACGCCGCCACACGTGGCCTGCGTGCGGTCGACACGCTATCAATCCCACCGAGCACTCGAGACGAAGACTGGAACACTCGACATGAACTTTGCAGAATCCTCAACATGGAGCACTGGCCAACAGAGGCCACGTGACATAATAATATTAATATTCGTATTAAAGGTTTTTTTTTTTTACATTCCCTATATATGAATGTGTTGTTAACCCACCACCGCCCGCCACAGCTAATTAGTAAGGTTTGTCACAAAATGTACAATTTGAGTACGACGTTTCGCTAGTAATAAAATTTGCCAGATTTTTGTGACATTAGCGCCCCCCCCCCCCCCCATACTCCCGGGCGTCTCAGATCACTTTTCATCTCATCTCATCTCCGCACATTTGGCAGAACACCACCCCCCCCCCCCCACCCCAGTGGCAGCCGTCTCGTGTGGGCGCACGATGGGACGCTGCGGATTCCCCCACGGATTTCTCGTGGCCTTCAACGCGTTTCACCGCGGCACGTTCCACGACCCGGCACAGCCGCTGCCGGCCTCTCCGTGCGCTCGGCACAGAGGGTGGGAGGGTGGGGGGGTGGGGGGGTGGGAGGGTGGGAGGGTGGGGGGGTAGGGGGGCGGCCCAGGCGGCGCCACCGAATCCTCTCGAGTCGCACGGCACTCACACTGGCAGGCCGGTCTGCAGCTTGAACGTGTCCTTGGATCCACGCAACTCTTGCTGCACCAGCGCCACCACCTCCACGGGGAACGTGTGGCTGCACGCGCACATCACAGCATTATGGGATGCTATCAGCGTAAACGATGCTCTATGAAATTAAACTAACGGCAAAGCGTAACAATGCGTTACTTTTTTGCGTGTGTTTTTTATACAATGCGTTATTTCAATGTGTGCGTCTCAAGGGGCTCTCACGAGTTGTCTGAGCAAGCGTTTTGTGCCGTGGCACAGCCTCTAGGGGCACTGGAGACCGTGGCGAGCGGACGCAATGGCTTAGCCGGTTCCACGCGACTGAACGAAAGCCACAATCAGCGCTAGGGGTCACCCAATCCCCACGCCGATACCCGTCCAACAGAAACAATAACAGACAGTTTACAGCCTGCTGCCCATTTTATGAAATGCAGATTTTGCAAACGTAAACCTAACCATCACCGTGGTCATGATTGAGCGTGATCCACCTACTGCTGGATGAAAGTATTAAAATAATTGACTGCCAAAACTGCTCTTCGCCCCATATCATTCAGATGTCTCTCGCAGACTGGAGTTGTATGGTAAGAGCCGAGCATTGAAGTTGTTTAGCCACTGGAGAACTCAAGAGACCAGGATACAGTCTCATTTGCAAAAGTGACCTGGGGCATTAGTCTGCCATTATGGGGGGGGGGGGGGGGGGGGGCAATAATTAATTGCTGTGTATCAACCCCATTGAGTAATCTACAGGGAATTTTCGAACATGGTAAAGTCGGACCCTGGCGTCGGTACACAACGGCCTACTCTTGCTCATGACGTCAGGGCATCTTTAACGTCCACTGTGCCGCAGACGACGCGTAGTAGCATTGCGGTTGTTACACACAAGGCAGGAAGAGGGCGGCCGCGGATTCGAACCGTGAACCTTTGCAACAAGCGGCGAACGCAGCGCGACCGCCGCTGGGCCACGCGCCACCGCTGGCGCTCGCGGTGCGACGAGCCGGGCCCTGCCGCCCGCTACGCTCACCTCGGGTCGTCCGCGATCGCTTCAAAGCAGCCGTTGGCCAGCATCTTGTCCAGCATCGCCATGAGCGGCACGGAGACCCTGGGCACACACGCCACGGTGAACGCCCGCCGCCCGCAAATGCTGAAACCTTCCCAACTTTGGCCCAGTTCGGAAAGACATCTTTTTTGTTGACGTTCCAGCGGAAAGGGTAACAGTAGGGGGTTTTAAGTAAGGGATGATGCTGCCTGCCCTGCTGGAATAGTGAGTGCACCGGACTTGCAATCCATGGGTCGCCGGTTCGACCCGCCCACCCCCACCACCTCTGTCCACACAGCGGTATAAATGGGTGCCGCACATTTCGTCTATCGGCGGGTCGCGGGTGGTGGGGTAAAGTGTGGGTACTCCCCTCTCTTCCAAGACCTCTGGCCATAACGGAAGAATAGGCCAAATACCCTCTGGAGGGGCTCTCAGAGCTCCCCCTGGTGGAGGCCCTTACGCCAGCAGTGCCGTGCGTGAGCAGTTTTCAGGGCTGCGCCTTTACCTTTTTGCTCGGGTTACCGAAGGCGTCATTTTGCGCAGGCCACGCTTGTAAACAGGACGCGACAATCCCAACGGCCTCTCGCCGGTTCAAGTAAATGAAGGGCCCGAGGTCGACCCGCCATCGCTAGCACGAGCGACGCCACCACTGCAACGCGCCCGCTCGAGACATCTTCACGCGGTCCCCTCATCGGCCTCAAGAGGCACACAACGTTTGTCAGCTGCACCGCTGCCACAACACGACCGGGCCGGCTGGATTGTGGCTTCGCTCAGGCGGCGATGACTCACAGGTGCAGCGCTCTGTGGGGGGGGGGGGGGGGGGTGCGGGGTGGTAACCGCTGCCCTTTCGTTGCTGCTGCTGCTGTGCCCAGGGGGCACCTTGCTGGCTCTGACAGGGTGGCACGTCAGCTACGGTGAGTCACATCTTGTACAAAACACATGGGGTTGGCAGCAGCTACTGCTGCTGACATGTGTGGTGTAAATTTATATATAAAATGGATGGATTAGTAATTTGATATATATCTGAGCCACACAGGGATGGGCAAAAATGCTAAAAAATTATATATTTCCTAAGGAAATGTAACGTCAATAAAAATGTATAATTAACCGTGTCTTGTGTAATACAGATACCAAACTAATTTGAGGTTGTTAATTTCAACGTGTGTCGTGAATTTAAATTGTAATTAGATCACATATTTCTTTATATCATTAAAAATGTAGTTGCACATAACCTGTGGGTAATTAATAAATTGCCCATCTGTGGCTGTGGGCTCACACTCCTAGATGCAGCTCTCACCTGGCATCACCGTCACCACCACCATCGTCACCACAACCACAAACCCCATCACTACCACCACCCCCACCACCACCGTCACCACCACCACCATCATCATCTACCACCCACACCACTACCACCACCGTCACTACTACTACCATTACCACCATCACCAACAACCGCCATTCGCCACTGAGTGGCGGTGACATCACCACGACGCTTGTGCCAGGCTATGTGCACCTTGAGGCCACGTGAAGTGTCGAACGCCCGCTGGCAGGAGGTCACGGGGCAGACCCAGATGCCACGGGTCGACTGACTGAGATGACTGGCTGAAGCACCACCCCTACTGTGCCAACCATTACCACCATCATCAACCACCACCATCATCACCACTACCACCACTACCGCCGCCTGTGGGCGCTGCGTTCTGAGAAGGCGCACTCTTCACCTCTGCGGGACATTTCCTACTACAGAATCCTTTGTATCGTTATTTAGACTGGAGGAATCCGACAAGCTATGAAGCTCTTTTTCACAGATGTCCAGCAGATCTGTGGTTAAAATGTCCCCGCGGGGGCATCAGCTCCCACGCCCGCTCCAGAGACGAAGCACCGGGCCAAGCACCGACGACCTGCCAGGGGCCCTCGCCACGCGTCTTTCCCAGAGTGCCGCGGGGCCCCACCGAGACGAGCGTCGGTGAGGCCCCGCCGCCCGCTGGCGCAGTGGCGCGCGGCCGTACCTGCTGTTCCTCAGGTTGGACCGGAATATTTGCAGGAGGGTCCTGCATAGCGCGTTCATCGCCTCCGTGTCCTGACGGATGCTCTTCATGAATGCGAAGAGCGCCTGAGCAGAGCTGCGCGTCTGAAACCGCAGGAATCGTCAAAATTATTGGCCAGATTTGGGGAGGGGGAGTCACGTTGGAAATTGCATTGAAAGACAGAGTCAGAGAGGAACACGTGGATTGGAGAACATAGGCAATATAGAGACATCACAACGGAGCGAGTGGGCTTGCGCAGGACGCCTTGAGAGAAGGGCAGCCAAAGGAGGGAGCGTGCCCGAGAGGATGGCGTCCGCTGCGGAGCCACATCGATCATTGCGACACGAGGCCACGAGAGATGGAGACGATTAGGGGAGGCCTTCATCCGGCAGTGGACCGACACGTGGCTATCAACGTTTCCTATCGCTGCTGCCACTTGGGGGGGTGTGAAGTAGCCTGGCCCCACACGAGGCTGCCAGGCTCGAGCGCCGCTCACGGTGGACTCGGTGAGGCCGCCCACGGATATGGTGAGGCCCAGCAGCAGGCGAGGCTGGTAGACGGGCAGCGACAGGATCTGCACCACGCGCGAGAACAGCTCCGACGCCATCCTCCAGTTCACCGCGCTGAGGTCCGCCCTGTGCCGCACCGCGGTCGAGGTGGGGTTGGGGGGGGGGGCGGACGAGGGTGCGGCGGGGTGAGAGGAGGGGGCAGAGTGTGAGCAACAGGAAGGGAGGGCACAGCAGGTGAGGAGTATTACTACTATTTACTATTTTTTCTTACCAGGTAAGGCCCACTGATCTATACAGCTCTGTTTTTCACAAGTGACTTGGCCACAAATGACAGCTTAACGAACATGGCTTATCGCGTGGAATTTAACGCACGTCGACTCTAAATGTGGAAGGAAAAACCGGAGGGCTCGGAGAAAAATCCGACGCGACCACGGGGAGAACGTGCATACTCCAAATACACAGCAGGCGTCAGGGTCGGGATCGAGCCCCCAATCTCCTGCATAGCAGGCGAGGGAGTTAGCAAGGCGAGGTGGTGAGTGGGGATGCAGTCGAGGGCCTCTTTCAGGTTTCCAGCCCCCGTCCCCCCCCGCAAAGACTGCAGATTCAGGCCAATTGGTGATCAGTGTTAATTCAGAGAGAATTTTTATTTTTTAAATAAAAAATGGCAAAGTGCATCTCGCGTTGCCATTCTCTTAGTCGAGGCGGCTACAGCAGTGATAATACTAGTCCACGCTTGGCGGCTACATGTTGGTGTGAGGGGCGTGCATTTTTTTTTGTTCCCCTCCAATCAGTGGCCCCGCACGTGGGCCTCCTCTCGGGCTCTTTGGCGGCGCTTGGCGGGCAGCCGCCAGTCATCGTCGCACCGGATGATCCTCATCCAATCGTCGTCATCGCCGACTAAAATAAAATAACAATCGCCTCGTCCACGAGTGTATTTCCGTCGCCAGTTGCGTCAACCGAATTGGCACCGCCTCGAACTCCGGACGACGCTCGTTTACTTTCGCCGCCGACGTGGTTTTTGGAAACAGACGCGGGTCGTGCGACGGGGCGGCGGGCACCTGGGGAAGGCGTCCAGCAGCTGCTGCCGGTGCGGGATGTGCGGCACGGGCCGCTCGTCGCGGTGCAGCAGCGCCATCAGCACCGACACGGCCTGCTCGCGCGTGCGGTCGATCTTCTCCGCCGCCTGCTGCAGCAGACGGCACATCGCCTCCTCGCACCTGCCAGACACGCGATGGACAGCAACAGCGACGGCCGCCATTCGCCACGGAGTGGACGCAGCTCTTGTGCCAGGCTAGGTGCACTTTGAGGGCGTCAGATGAAGTAGTGGGAGCCTCATTGCTGGCAGGAGGTCACGGGACAGACCCAGGTGCCATGGGTTACTACTGGCAGATGCACCACCTGTGCTCCCCACTATGCCAACTTTCTGCGTTTAAGCGACCCGGCGCTCCACTCGTTGTCCTGAGCATCGTTCCTCCATCCTCCGTTGTTGCTGGAGATGAAGATTACCATCTCCTGTCGAGTCAAAGAGAATACTGGGCGAGCAACTGTTGAGGATCGCAAGGCACATGATGGGCTGGTGTGGCCAGCACCAGGGCGCCCCAGCGCTGACGTTTACACACTGCACCAATTACTAATTTGAGGCTGAGCTGACCTAGTAGATGCCAGTTCAGACAGATATTCGCTCGCCACTACAATAGCCGAAAAATCAAGTCAGCGGATTCGAAGTGCAGTGCGCTAACCACTGTGCGGCCACTCGGCACACCAAAGCCAAAGACGGAATGCGCAGATTTCGACGTAATTAACGCTTCTCGTTGACCAACACACGCTGGAAGAGCAAGCACCTGCGTATCTGTTTATGGTCGCTGGCCCCGCGCACGAAGAGTTTCTTTGGGCCAGCTGGTCACCTGGCTGCCATTGTCTCCGTGGCGCTGGTGACCTCCACCCAGGTGTTCTATTTGCGAATTAAAGAGGACGTGTGGCCACACAGCGGAAACGCCCCTATTCTCCAGAACGCAATGGAACGTTCTTAATCAGGGCATTCGGTATCCGTGGGACGTTCTACTCCTGTAGAGGGAGTGGGGGGGTGGGGGGCGGTTTCTGCTGGGGGTGTGGCAGGGTGGGCACTCACACGCTCGGCAACAGCATCTCTGGGCACTTGTCGACCACGAGAAGAATCACCTCCTTGAGGCTGACCATGGCCACCTCGCGCACGCTGCAAGGACAACGTCACACGGGATCGGTTGGGTCACCCAGCGACAACGCCACATCTGTTACCACCGCCACTCGCACCTCCGCCATCCTCATCACCGCCGGCGCCACCCTGGTCACAAACTCCACCACCGCAAACCGCATTGGCGCCACCATCGCAACCACTTCCGCCACCACATCCGTCTTCAAAGTCACCACCGTCTCCATCGCTATCACGACGACCACCTCCACCACACATCAATAATAACACAACCACCTCCACAACATTCACCACAATCACCTTCAAAAACAACATCACTGCCTTCACCACCACAACCACCTTTACAACCACCTTTACAACCACCACCTCCATCACCATAGCCATCATCGCCACCAATACCATCGCCTTCACCATTTTTACAACTGTCACCACCACCCCGGCTACTACCGTGGTAACTACCACCACCACTACAACCACCTTCACCACCACCGCATTCACCATAATCTCTCTCTACTATCACCGACACATCCTCCACCTTTCACACCATAACCACGTTAGACGAGGTCAAGGCGAGCAGGGGTCGCTTGCTGGCACAGTCGCTCGTCGTCACCAAACGGCGGCAGTGGAGCCACCGCGCTTGCCAGGAGCAACGACATTCCCGGTGGCACCAAACGCAGTTCACATCGGCTCGCGCGAACATCGCCGCCACGCCTCGGCGGCGTACGAGCGTATGGTTCGCCCGGGAAGTTCAAACGTGGTACAGCGCGAGCCTGCGGGAGGTTCAAACGGCCCACCTCGTGCCATGTGACCCCCGGGGGGATGGGAGATCCATAAACAATTCTAGCAAGGTCGAGGCAAAATTGCCTTAAACGGGATGACCCTGTCGTAATTTACGCTCCATCTCTGCGGCGCGCCCCTGGTTAGGAGCGATGACAGTGATACACCTGGTGGCTCCCCCCCACCCTCCCACCACTTCACCTTGTCCTCGCCACAGCCAGGAATGCGAGAGCGCGTGGCGCCTGCGTGCGTGCGCCTGCGTACGTGCGTGCGTGCAAACAGCCGAACGTGGACGTCATCTCCGCCGAATTTGCCGGCATAGCAGAGCAGGGTGGAGGGGTCGGGCTGAGGAATGTGGACGATCGCGAGCCCTCGGAAAATACCGACGTCTCGACTTCCTCTCAAGTTCAGGCTCAAGGACCTTCTCCTCTGCCCAAGACTGCTGACCCTGTCCACCTGTGCAACATTCCTCGATCAATCCCAACAAGCCACCCTCCCCGGCACCCACAGCTCCTCCCTAAGCGTTCAACTAAACAAACAAGAAACGCACGGCCTTTCCCGCAAAGCGGTAATGCACGCGCCGTGCTCCTTGTACGGCGCCGTGAGATGTCTCCACGCATTGACATACTTCACCCACGATAACCGACCCCACCTAACCGTCCGCACCTAACCGCGTCCACCTAACCGCCCCCACATAACCGCACCCACCTCCATCACCGCCGCGGTGAGCTTCTCACGTTTCAGAGGCCAGAGGCCACGTGCACACCGTGTCCTCTCCGGATTATGCGGTTTTCTTCCCCCGCTGTCATTTGACGCAAAACTTGGGGGGTGCGTCGTATAATCCGGTAACCGTGTGCGCGCGTGTATCTGTGCGAGAGGCTAGATTTTTATGTAACTGTATTGACACTGGGCAGCAACTTGGGGTGCTTCTGGCTCGACAGAGGGCCCATTATTATCTAAAAAAGAGGGGACACCATTTGAAAATGGCTGCCAGTTAATCGATTGTAAAAAAAAAAAACTTTATAAAATAAATGTGATCAATCGAATCAATCGATTGCTTCAGCAGTGGAATTAATTGAAAGATCATGGGGTGAATCGCAAACAGCAAGATTACTTTTACGGCCGCTGAACACGAGTAACCAGAAGCAGCGGCCAAACATAATTACAGGAGCGGAATATGGACAAAGAGACCGCAGAGTATATAAAGAGATATTACACAGCATGTCTTATATAACAGCGTGCTTTAACAAAAAATAATTACGCTCGTAAACACTCATCGAGTGGATGTCGCCAGAAGTCTGCCGGTTTCTTCATAGCCTGAGGCTGGCCATTCAGTTTATAGCCTCGCTCTGCAACAGACGTTTCTCGCACCACTTAAAAGTTAAACAAAACCTTCGCGGGGACATATTCGCACGTTCAGAAGACGCTCTGGACCAGAACACGAAGCCAGCAATCTCCCAGAACGACGACATCCGGCTGCATTCAAATGTGCGTTCTCGCCAATCGGGCCACGCGGCAAAAAGACATTTCCACTCGAAGCTCTCGCGGGAAACCGGCGTGGCAGCCAGTGCGAGGGAGCCATGTGCGTGGGACGTAATATCACAAAACCTACGGCTACGGATTCCTCAAATTGATTCTCGTCGACGTCATGCGGGGCACCAGCTCGCACGCCCCTGCGAGACGAGGCGATATGTTCCGAGCGTGGTGAACGCACCGCGAGCACGCCGTACACGTTATTATCCTCACCGCTGGAAACCCGCCAAGCCGATTTGATCGTCAACTGACAATATTTGACAACCCAGTTTCGTCGCGAGGTTCTGTTGAGTTTTGTCAGATTTTGTTGGATTGTTAAAGGTTTTATTGTCGGGTTACGTAACGTCGGTAACTGCACATTTCCTCTCTCCGGGAGCCGCTTCGTGAGCAATGAAAGCTGGGTGAGCGCTGCGTGGGTTATCGCGTCACAGGATCGCGAGGGATGGCGATGGTCTGAAGAGGAAGAGGTCTTTGTCTAGAGGTATACAGGAGGTCGTGGGTTCCATGCCAACACTTACATCTGTGTGTTTCTCTCCCTGTGGTCATGTGAATTTTTCTCAGGGTCCTCTGTTCGGAGTATTTGGCTGATATAAAGTTCCACAAGATAATAAGCCACTTCGTTGCGTTATCATTTGTAGCCAGGTCGCTTTTGAAAAAAGAGCTACGTAGCTCAGTGGACCTCGCACTGGTAAAATAAAAAAATAGTTTAAACAGTTACAGCCTCGACCCACGGTGGCCGCCCCCCGCGGCTTGCGGCTGCTGTGGTCGGGCAACACTCACACAGCTCCGATGTCGCCGCGCGCGTCCATCGTGTAGTCCTCCATGGCGCCCAGAATGGCCTCGAACACGCGGCCCAGGGTGGCCGCGCCAAGTGTGTGCTCAGAGTCGCCGTCGAGTAGGCCCACGCCCACCGTCAGGCACACGCTGCACACCACAACAAAGATGATGATCAAACCCCCCCTATAGCCTTTACAGACTCTTGGGGCAAGTGTTGTTAGGGAGCACATATCAAGGCTGGAACGGTGCAGCGATGGGGTGGTGTGGCCAGCGCCACAACAACCGCCATTCGCCACTAAGTGGCGGTGATGTCACCACGGCGCTTGTGCCAGGCCATGTGCACGTTAAAGCCACGTGAAGTGTCGAACACGCGCTGGGAGGAGGTCACGGGGCAGACCCAGGTGCCATGGGACGACTGACTGAGATGACTGGCCGATTCACCACATGTGCCCCCTACCGTGCCAACACCACGCACACACACACAAGACAAAAAATCCCCCATAGAGAATTAACAACCAAGTGCTGATAGCGAGGACTTATGAACGCTGGAACGGCACACGAGGGGGGCGTGGACAGCACCACACCTGGGCCGCCTTGGCATTCTGAGCGGCGAAGTTTACACACTGCACCAGGTCGACCAAGAGGAGGCCTGGGGCGGTTAGGGTATCACTCGCTGCCACCACCACCACCACGCACGCAAACACACATAAATGCACACCACAACGGACACACACACAACACAAGCCACATGCACACACGGAACAACGCACAGACGGTCGCACATCTCATTCGGCTTCTTCCCTCTCACTGTTCCACTCCCGTGGGCTCTCTTGACAAGCTCTTAAAAAGCCTTTCTCAATGCAGGAAGCGTATCAACTCTTATCTGCTGTTATAACCTTCAAAGGGCTTGTTGCAGGCCTTTGGGCCTGTACTCAGAAACCTTGGGGGGTGGGGGAGTGGGGGAGAATAAGTAAATAAGTAAATAACTGACAAGCCCACGAGCTTACGCCCACTGCCCAGAAGCAACTTTACATAAAAGTCGGTGGAGCAAAGCCTCCCAGGAGCTAAAAAACGAAAACACTGCCCGTTGTAGCGAGCGCTGGATCTTTCCAGCGACGTGTTCCTGCCGCCGTCGCCGCCGCAGCGGACGGGCTCACCTGGCGATGGCCCCGACGGCGTCTCTCCGGGCCTCAGCAAACTTCTCCTCGTGGGGGCCGATGGCCGTGGCCTGCTGTAGGCCGGCGAGCACCTGGCACGTGAAGACGAATGCGGAACGTCACACAGTGAAGCTTCGTCCATCGCCGTCGCTTTAACACTGCAACGCCGCACATCCGACCGTCGTGTATCTGCACTGACCGATTAACTGCCCGCCCCCCCCCCCCCCCCGCCAGGCATATCCGGCATTTTCACATATACGCCCATACCAGTGCCCAGTGAGCCGGTTATACAATGTCGTGGTGTATTAGCAAACACAGCGTCTTCCTCTCACCGCTTATTTTTAAAGCGCAAGCCAACATTACCTCTGTGAAACATTCAGGCGTGGTCGGTCAACGTCTCCACGTACGCGTCGCGCCTTGCCAAACAGACGAAATTTATCCGACTTGAGATTGTACCAGTGGATTAATGGCGCCATCAATTTTCAATTAATCTGTGCACTCATTGTGCGATTTGCTTGAGCCATGCTTCAGTGCGCTTGATAAGCGCTCCGCTTTTCTCTTCCGCCAACGGCTCCATTTTTCACCATCGGCTGAAAGAGGGAACTGTCGCACTTAGTCTCAGTCGTATCAACTGGGGGCCACACGTTAGCGTTTGATCGCGCCCATGGGAATTCCTCTAAATATCACGTGTACATTCATCATCAACATCAGCCATGGTCAATCCACTGCCGGACGAAGGCCTTCCCCCAGGCCACCGCCACCTCCCACGATCCTGCGATGCAATAATCTACCTGCACACCTGCACACCTGCATGTTAGCTGGTTCTGGGTAGATTAGCATTAAATAATTATTTGAACCAGCGTGGGATTTCTCGCACGGACATTTTTATTCACAAGATAAACTGGCTCTCCGACACTTGTCATTTGAATACAATTCGAAGGGCCTGTGTTCGTGCGTGCGGTGGCGCCACGGCCGGGTGTTGAACCTGGCTGATGTGCCCGGCGAGCATGAACGTCGGCAGGGCCCCCAGGGCACAGCTAAAGCCACATCGAGTCATCTTGTCGCTGCTCTGCAGCCCGGCCAAGTAGCGTTCCAACAGGGCAGCTGTCGCAGTGGAACACAAAAGACATAGATCACCCTCATAGCCCACACAGGCTGTTGGGGCAAGTGCTGTTAGCGAGCGCCTATGATGGCCGGCTCGGCACACGAGGAAGAGACATTGCCAGGACCACATCCAGTTGCCTTTGCCTCCCAGTGCTGATGTTTACACACTGCACCAGGTAAGATCTCACCTAATCGTATCCTGCCATCTGCCCTTAGATACACTCAACCTGTGGATTTTACACAGAGATCCACATATTCACACAGAAACCCATAGATCTGCTCCAACAGTATCCCACCAATTGGCCTTAGGTCTTCTCCATGATCACCTAGTCGTCTTGTAAATTCTACAATAATAATAACAATAATGCCATTTGTTTACCTAAGTAAGCCTCGCTGAGTCTCAAAGGCTCTTGATCAGGAGGGCCCTGCATTGGGATCCTTGGCCATCACCATTTACCAGCGATTGGCTTCACACGGGGAGACAGCAAAGGCTCCGCACAGATAGATTCAAGGATCCTGCCAATTCCCGGTCAAACCACAAGATTTCCCAGGCAGCCTCCCGTCGCAGTACTCATCACCAGGCTAAAACCCTGCTTCGCTTCTGATGTTGGGTGCACTCGGTGTGAATTGGTTGTAGTCAGTCAGGTTGACAACTGCTGAGTCATTGCGTCGGTGGTGATACGTTGATGCTAATTCCAACGTCGGTAAATGTCGGCACGGAAAGGGACAGGCTTGGCTGTGATGATGCAACTCTAGGGTTCGTAAAGGTCATTGGTGGAATTCAGGGTCACCCGTGTTGACGAGTTCCAAGAATGGTTTAAGGTCAATTCTGGAGTGGTGGCTCTGCAAAAAAAGAAGGATTTAATTCTCGGGTCAGCAAAGCAATTCGTTATAGCCCAGCGAGTTGAGAAAGCCAAAAAAACCCAACAAACTTGAGATGTTTATCTCTAGATGGCTTTAGGGCCGTCTCATGCTTGGCTATGTTGAACAAAGCTGGGACTCAGAATGCTCATTGGGAACTTCCAGTTTTGGCTTCTTGGGTCTTCGGAATTTTAGCAGAAAAAGTTTGTTAAATCTTACAAAATAAAAGACAAATTAACGTAGCTCAATTTTGTATGTGTTGCGGGCAAGTGGTGTGAATGAAAATATTTCCACTTCCATCGTTTACATCGTTTCATTTATTAAAAATGTGGCGAGCTTCTATAAAAAAAAACAAAGTCGCTGTGAAACTTGTCTGGTTATGACTACTGGTTTTACATTGTTTATGAGAGCCCTGCTTGGTATGTGGATACATTCTTAAAGGTTAACGAGATAGACAAGTCGGCTGGTGACATATAGCTCAATTTTAGAATCATTCCACCCAGACCACTCTGAGCTTGTAACCTGCAATACCTCAAGTTACCTTTCCCCTTAGCTTGTCACCTAAATCAGTGTCGAGCGTATTTATTTTAAGCAAGAGCTCTTGGTCACTTCGTTGCTGGGTGGAGGCCTTCTCACGCCATGTCGGTCAGTGGGGGTGTCAACATACTTCACCACGCTGGTCAGTGTGGGTTGGTGTGGGGAGCGGCAGGGCGTGGACCGGTTCGCTTGCCGCTGATGTTAGCCGTGAGTGGAAATCCAACAGAGGTCGCCGGACTCGTGGCATGGCACCAGCAGGGATTGGTGCGGCACAAATAAAGTTGGCGTGTCACACTGGCTGGCTTGGTGTGCCACACTGGCTGGCTTGGTGTGCCACACCAGGAGTTCGGTTCCTGCTCACGGCCAACACCGGTCCTGGGCCTCCCCTAGGTCGACTCAGCCTCAACTGAGTACCTAGTGCGGTGTGCAAACATCGCCACTGGGGAGACAAAGTCGTCGTCCGGGCGTGGTGCTGGTGACCCACCCCCCTCGTGTGCCGTGCAGGCCTTCATAAGTGCTGCTCGCAAACTGCGGTTGCCCCAACAGTCTGCTAAGGCTACACAGGGGAGCTCTGTCTTTGGTGCGGTGCGCTGTGGGCTGGTGTGGTGCAGAGCGGGTGGCGCTCACCCTGGACGGCGCGGTCGGCCTCCCCGGCCTTGGCCTGGTAGTAGAACTCGCATAGAGCGGCCAGCGCCGATATTGCCGCAGCCTGCAAGCACGGGGGGGGGGGGGGGCACATTCGTGAACCATGAAACATTAAACGCGTCGCAGCCGCCGCGAGTTTTCTTTCTCTTATCTAGGTTGTCCCCTCTTTGTTCCCGCACTTCAAAAAACAAGCGAGCAGGTGCGGTGGCAATTCGCGCTGGTTTTCAGCTGTTTTGTGCTACCGTGCGTGCGATATAATAGATAAGGTGACATCGTTTCCTGTGTATGGGAGCACACAAAGCCAGCGTGCTATTTGAGTCCGAATTTGTTATTTAAGTCACAGCCTAAGTCAAGTCGACAACAATAACAACCACTTAGGGTTGATGTGAAGCCATATATTGATTTGGTTTAATTTGTATTTCACTTGTTTTTATGGTTCTCTGACTGAAAGTTTTAAAGTGACATTTCTTCTGTTAGCACTTATGAGCATTGCCATCTACAAATCCAGATTGCTTACACTTCGGGAGAAATAACTTAGCCCTGGAGACTCGTCATCACGATCTATAACGCCTATTGCAGTAGTTTATATACCAACAATAAACCACGTTGAGCCCCCAACAATATCATGCTCTTAGAGGCAAAGCAGAGTACCATAAGTTACAACATTAGGTCATGATTTTCAGTGGAGGAAGGTTTCGAAATTATAATAAATATATCGAACATGTTCATCAATAACACCGTGGCCTTAAAAGAAACATGTACAGAAGGTGGCATCTCGGGCAACGGCATTTCCCTATTCATGTGCTATGCAGAAGGGCCACGGAGAGAGATTTTGGTTTTACGAGCTTGGGCGTAAATAGGTGGCAGGCAGGACGGAGTTGTCGACTTACGGAGGCATCAGACGAGAAAGGGTGACCTCATAGATTACGGTGAGTGTATATGATGCAAGGAAATGATGTCTCCACAGTTGTAAAAACAACCACAGACGCACTCCCCAATAATGTCGATAAATTCACGTAGTTTGGAGCCCGTTTCTTAACGGTTATTGGCCTGCTTGGGAGAAGCGCTGCTTATCGCCGTCCCCGCACGGTAGCAGCAGCGGTAGCAGCAGCAGTAGCAGCAGGGCCAGCGGCAGGTCACGGCGCGCCAACGACTCGGCCGGCTCGCAGCGGCCACGTGCTGCCCCCCCCACCCCCCCCCACCGCCCTCCACCCACGGACCGCGTGGCCGCCCGTGCGGCGCCAACTCGAACCGATCCGGTGCGGAGGAGCCTCCATGGTGGTGAGCGCCACCGCTACCCAGAACGGAGCATCCTCCGCCACTGTTTAGAAACCACCGGCACGCGGCGAGTGCCGATAGGCATCGCTCTGCGCCCCACAGAAGGAGCGCTAATCTCTCGCAAAAATCTGTTTAGAATTAAGTGGAGCGGCTCACAAACTTTACCTGCAAGCTCGTCTTTGTTTGACTAGCAACTCGTCATCATCTCACACTTTTCAACAGCACGTTTTGATCGTTGCGCGCTCACGCGTTTCTAAAATGCCCGGCTAGATCAATGAGGGCGCGCGCATTTTTCCACGTTTTATTCGGCACTTTTAAGGCCTTGTTGAAATATTTTGACGACCGTGTCTCTGAACCACATGTCAGCGCGGGCAGCACGCACCAGTGAAATACTGTCTTCGCTGGAGCGGTTCACAAACTTTTACCCGCACGCTTTGCCTTCGCTTCCAAACCAACTTATCATCCTCCAGCAATCTTCTTCTTTCGTATGGCCACTGATATAGATGCAGAGCCAACAACTACAATTTCACAGTCGTGTGATCAAGCCAGATCACTGCGTCAAAAGCGGCGGAGTAGCGTATCGCTGTGATTTCTCCTGCAGTCATTACGCACGTTTACTCAATTGAGATCGCACGCAGCAGCAATCGCCGCCTCCTACTGGCAGAGTAACGGTCATTGTGCAGGCCGGTGCCGAGCCGCCTTGCGCTTCACGCCAACAGCTGCCACTGGGGGCATCTTTCGAATGTCCGAGATGAGATGCGATGCCCAGGATATTTAAGCGCCCCTTTATAAATACAAACGACAATCGTCATTTTCACCCTTGCCTGTGTGTGTGTGTGCGCGGTTTCCATTTGTGGGTGCTCTAGCCGCAGAGCGCTCCCGGTCACTCGAGGTGAGCCGCCCGCACTGCGGAACCACGTGGCCCCGGCCGCGCTCCGGTTCAGCCACACGCCGCGATTCACCCGCGACAACCGAGAGAGACGCGAGAGAGACGCGGGGGAGCGCGGTGCATGCGTGCGTCCAACCCGCACCGCGGCGGTGCGTGCGGCGACCAACGCGCGGGGTTTAGCGTCCCCGGTTAGCGCCGGTTCGAGTCGCCGTGTTGGATGCACCAGTTCCCGACAGCCTGGCTGCGAAATGCACCAGAGCACGCGCGTGGTGTGCATGCCGTGTGTGCGTGCCGTGTGTGCGTGTCCCGTGCCACAGAAGGCAGGGCTTGGGTAAGCGGGGCCCGGCGCGTGCTGGCGATGACAGGGGGAGCCATTGGGATGCCACTGCGATGTGCACAGCCCCACGGTTCAAAACTAAATAGCAAACATACCGACGTTGAAACAATTAACTGCAGATTGATCGACTGGGATAACGCGCAGCAGCAGCATTGCCCGCTACTGCGGAAAAACCTGGCAGGACCCTCCCTGCTGAGGAGTCTTGAGACTCGGCGAGGGCTTTCCTGGGCAAACAAGAGTGACAATAATAATAGCCTTGGTGCCAGGCTAGGGCCAAAACAGTTGCATCGATGTAAACTATAATCCATGCCAATACCGTAATAATACTGGGAGAACAATGATAACGAATGAAATACGCAAGGATGCTTGACAGACACCACCTCTACTTCCCTGTGCACAAAGGTGGCATCTCCCCGTGTGAACATCTCCTTGAACAGCCTCCGTGTACAAGCATCGAGCGCGGGGACGCATCGATGCATTCGGTAACTACAATTAATTATGACACTCGTCACGATCATCATCGGTCAGAGTCTATCATCCACTGCTGAATGAAGGACCCGGCAAGCTGTTAGAATCCCTCGCGGTCACAGGCCGCAACAATCCACCCGCACACGGGCTGATCTCATCGCTCCATCTCTTCGGAGGACGTGCTCGCGGCCGTGTTTCCGCCCCTGGCCACCACTCTGTCCCCCGTGCCGAACCGCTGCCGTGTCCTGTCGCAGCACACTTTATTTTTCCTAGCGGTCAAAGATGCTCACTCCGATTTGCATTTTGTTCTCCGATCCTCGTGTTCTCCTCCGTATCTCCTACCCCCCGGCACGCGCCTCCTATGGCGCACGCTTCTTTGCGCAATCTTCAGTGTCTGCTTCAATTCTATCGCAGGCCGCCCTTCAATAATCGCCCCGGGTATCACAAAAGCTGAGCTCAAGATAAGCACAAGGAAAAAAACAAATGCGACGTAAGAGTTCGCTGAACAATTGAAGATGCTCGTCAGCGAGACACAACTGCAAAAGATACGCTCATTTACAAATCTAAATGTGCGTGGATTTATTATTTTGAGACGCAAACCATACCCTGATGTTACACACTGGGGGTAGAACGGTGGCAGAGTGATTGGTGCGATGCGCTACGAACCGGACAACCCGAGTTCAATTCCCGGCGGTGGATAACATCAGCAGTAAACGATAACCGAACCATTCCTGGGCGACTCTTTCACCAACCCCCCCTATTGACCAGCGTGAAATATGGGGGGGGGGGGGGGGGGGCCTTCATCCAGCAGGGGCTCATAAAGGGCCTGTAAATTATTATTAATCGCACAAATACGAAAGATAAAAACAGGCATGCAATTTCGTAATGTTACGTTACAGCCTTGACTGTGCGCGTGCAAATTCAACTTCATAAGAAACCTGCCACTATTCGGGCGCCCACCTTCTGTTCACTCCCGAGGCCCTAGAAATCGAGCAGAGGAATGAGGCTTGCCCTTAAAAAACACTTCCCATTTACACGGGTGTCTTGAAACACAAGAAGCAACGTATTTGCATGTTATTATTATTATCATTATGATGGCAACATTTTTGCCGCCCTGGTAGAAGATCACGGCCCCCGTATTGAAGGAGAAGCCTTGACAACATAATTGTTGAGTGCGTGGAGTACAGGAGGAATGCTTGCATCACCTTTGTTATGAAAAAAAATAAAAACACAGAACACCGCGTGCGTGTTAGCACGCGCCGGGCAGCGTTTCCCTGTTTTGCCACCATCACTCGCCGATCGGATCCGCCCTGACCCTGCTCGAAACGCGAATGAAAGGCCGATCGTTACAGCTCGAGTCACAGCAGGTGATGGTGGTGGGGGAGTGGGGGGGGTTACCCTGTCGGAGCCCCCACAAACGGCACGCCTGCGCGAACCTGAAAGGCTGTCAAAATGTCATCAACGCGCGCCTATTTCTGAGCTGCCCGCGTCGAGCGGGGCGCTGCTGGGAACGGGCAGGAACAGGCTGACCGGCGCATCAGTCAGCCGAGGCTACCGAACGAACGACGGAGACAGCGACGTGCCGGGCGATGGGGCCTGCCCGCGACCCCGGAGGGGGGGGGGGGGGGGGGGGTCGCGCCAGCAAACCAGGGGAAGGTGGCGGAGGCCGGCCGGCGCAGCGGCCCGCTCCAGCGGCGGCCGGGCGGTGGAAAAACACCCCCTGCTCAGTCACGAGCCGCGTGCCGCGACCCCCTCGTCCAAGCCGCGAGGCCGCGGGGCCCACGAGGTCGGCACGCTGCGCGCAGTCAGCCCATTGGCCGCGGACGGCTCCAATCGGGTCCCCTCCACCGTGCCGTCGTCTTAGCACGCGGGCGGGGAGGGAGTGCCGGAGAGGTAAAAGAAAGATCAAGAGGTCGTCGTGCACGGGTTGGAGGAGGAGAGCGGCACGCGAGCGCGGGGCCGGTGCTCGGGTCGCCGCCTGCCCGGGTCTGTCCGGGTTTGACCTCGACAGTCCGGGGAAAGGCACCGCCGGTGTTTCCGGTGGCAGGAACCGATTTGTGCCGAGATGCGGAACGGGTATCGTCGTGTTGAA